TTACATTGTTATTCTTAAGATGAATATTTACAGTAATCCATGCAAGTTACAGTTTTTCTCAGACGCTTTGGTGCATTTCTCACAACACTATTTACATTTGCACAACAGTTAATGCAAACTGCAAAACAATTAGTGCAAACTGCAAAACCTAGCTAATAACCTGCAAAAGCGCGTCACTTGCTCAAAATAGATAGTTCATTCCTCAAAAGCAAGTATTGATGTCAATCAAAGTGTCAGTGTCATCAAAATGAAAAGTCCTGTCACCATTGTTTATGAACAAGATAGTCAAATGGCTTAGTCCTGTTTTCATTATGGCGGTTTACTCTCTACATTTTTTCAATGCAAAAAAAGTCAGAAGTTGGTGACACCTGCTGAAAATGCTCAAGACAGCACTATATACTATTTGCACAGCCATTTGAACACTACAGTAAAGTTAGACATCACTGCATTTAGTAAGGGATCTGAGTACAAGACACTGAATATGTATGTTTCACATTTTTATTGCATTTGCTCTTTACAATTCTAATTTATTCACAGCATTGTGCAAAAGAATAAATACACCCTTTTTTACAACAAACATAAACTTCCTATAAACTGAAGACAATATTGCAGTACATATCGGAACTGAACCTGCAACATAAACAGGTCTGTAAATCGTTCATCAAATTGTTCAATTTTAAAGACATTTTCAGGAAAATAAAGTTTTAAAAAAAATTTTTATAAAGTTTGCTTGACCGATTTCGACATCAAGTTCAACATTTTAGTATGTAATGACTCAAGTAATGAAATGAGGACTATTAGTTTTATATGTAATGACTATTCAGCATTTACAAGTTTAGTTCATTTTAACTGACATGACATAAGCGAATGATAATGTTATAAACAGCCGAGAGTTGTATGAAAGCAATTGATGCATGTCCGAAAGCATTTACAATTTGTTGAAAGGAATGAGAAACTGCTACTAGGGTGTGCACAAATGACTTATTGTTTTGAGAAATGCATTACCTGTTGTGCAAATGTAAATAGTGTAGTGAGAAATGCATCAAAGCCACTGAGAAAAACTGTAAAATGAGCATGAAATCTAAAAATTACAATGTTTGTTTTGCTATAGCTTACATTGTTATTCTTTAGATGAATATTTACAGTAATCCATCCAAGTTAATCTACTGTTTTTATAAACGTCAATTAATGTCTAAAAAGACCACATGCCAAAAAGACCAGACGCAAGACAACAGAACATTTAAATGCAGACATTCAGAAGCACAGAACACCACATTGTAAACGCTGTAGTGTATGAGTGTGCGTGAATGTGAGAGTGTATGTTTCCCAGTACTGTAATGTGGCTGGAAGGGCATCCGCTGTGTAAAACATATGCTGGAATAGTTGGCCGCTCATTCCGCTTGATAAATGAGGGACTAAGCTGAAGGAAATTGAATGAATGAATGATGATTCTGTTGTTGTGATGTGAACAGGAGCGTGGACAGAAGAGCAGACCCAACAGCTCCAAAGCAGAAACCCCAGCAGGTGTGTGAGTTATCAGCATTCAGACTCTTAATATTAGAGATCTTTCTACCAAATGCTCTCTAACTGCCATCCAAACTCTTAGTTTTAGTTTAGTTAATCCACACTATGCGTATAAATTGGCTTTGCTTTATATCCCTCCAAGTTACATGCGATTCTGAAGACATGTCTGTTGCAGTATTTAACTCTTTCATGGTGCTTTCATGGTGTCTTCACTGTCGCTAATGGGCTTTTTGTGTGTGTGTGTGTGTGTGTGTGTGTGTGTGTGTGTGTGTGTGTGTGTGTGTGTGTGTGTGTGTGTGTGTGTGTGAGTGTGTGTAGTTCATTCAAAGTCTGCTCAAAGGAGAGTCAGCGTGTCTCAGTCTGTCTTCTTCATGGAGGACGGACACTTGGGTTGGTGTGATTAGATCACTCAGAAACATACACAAAAACAATTGTACGAATTGTATTTTAAAACACTTATTATCTCATCTAGGGTTTGTCTTCAAGAGCTATCCGAAACCAAAGAGTGTGCGCAAGTCAATCGCCAGCATCAAACTGCCCAAACATGAAGGCATCTGCTCAACTAAACAGGTACACACCACTAAGGTACTGTAGATGTGCATAAACCCCTAACTGTAAGTCTAAACTGGTCTCTATAACCAGTTTTTTTTTTTTTTTTTTAAGAAAAATAATGGTCAAATTATTGATTTGTTCAACTTTCAGTTATCATTGTGTTGGATTACATGCTTTAAAACTGGCTTTGGTCAGAAAACCGAACATTTAAATATCATCTTATTAAATATTATTCAGAAATATACAGTGACTGATGATATTTATATGCATTTACATATATAAACAAAGGCACCTGTGCTTGCTGGATCTTTACTGTACAACATACTTCGCCATTATGACAACAAATAATATTTGCCTAGATCTTTTTTAAGATACTAGTATTCAGCTTAAAGGGCACCTAGGTTACCCCTTTTTTCAGATTTAATATAAGTCTTTTGCGTCTCTAGAATGTGTATATAAAGTTTCAGCTCAAAACACCCATCAGATTATTCATTATACCTTTGACAAGATGCTGTTTTATACTGATTTCAAGCAGGGGGTGGTTTTGTCGTACTGCGCCTTTAAGGCGAGTTCATCTCCGCCTACTGTTTCTACATGCCTTCCCGCATGCTTTAATCTACTCCCTCGGCTGCATCAGACAACAGACAAACTTTAAGGAAGAAGGTCTCACGTAGCGTTTGTGAGAAATACTACAGTAAGAACTAATCTTTACTAATCATTATTGTAAAGTTGCATTGATGAGTCACACACAATATCAGTACAAAGTTCGCACACACACACATACACAGAGATACACACGCACACCGCAGCTGACACACACACACACACACACACACACACACAGGCAGGCAGACAGACAGAGCGCGCTTAGCTTAGCACTGCTTTTGCACTCGATGTGACAGGATACAGGCTAACCTCCACTGCTGTGTGGATATCTGTTATGCTAATGTACAAAATAAACCTGATTTAACTTCCACAGACCGAGATTGAAGCGTCTACTTTTATAATTGTTCTGACACGCGGCTGTGCTGATGAAGTAAAGCTGAAGTAAATTGCTGTAATTAATTACACACATGCTCTGTTTTAAAACACTTTAAACATGTGAAACTTACTCTTGATCACATTTGATGATGATTGCTGATCCTAGCGAACTGAACAGACCTTTTATTCCCGGTTGCTTTGCGTATGTCTGTCTGGTCTTGTTGGCATGATTATACACGTGACTACCGGAACACGTAAATGCGCGCAGCTGTCAATCAATATGGTGGGCAGGGGGAGCGCACTCCTACGTAAAGTTGCGGTCGGTCTGAAAAACGCTCTAATTGGTCCACCGTTTTTATGTTGTTAAATTGAAAAAAAAAGGACTGTGTGTGTTTATATCACCCCAATATGATGGTCTATACATTATATATACACATATGTTTGTCCAAATAGCTTGAAAAGTAGATTTTTCACCATAGGTGCCCATTAAAGTGAAAATTAAAGGCTTAATTAGGTTAATTAGGCAGGTTAGGGTAATTAAACAAGTCATTGTTTAACGATGGTTTGTTCTGGCTGAAATAAAACAAATAAGACTTTCTCCAGAAGAAAAAATATTATAGGAAATACTGTGGAAAAATTCCTTGCTCTGTTAAACATTTATTTTTTCAGCTTAGTTTTTTTATTAATCAAGAATAGCCACAGCAGGATCAACCACCAACTAATCCAGCATATGTTTTATGCAGCAGCAAAACATTACTGGGAAACATCCATACTTGCTCATTTACACACACTACAGACAATTTTAGCCTACCCAATTCACCTATACCACATGTCTTTGGACTTGTGGGGGAAACCGGAGGACCTGGAGGAAAGCCACACCTATATGGAGAGAGCATGCAAACTCAATGCAGAAACACAATCTGACTCAGCCATGGCTTGTACCAGTGACCTTCTTGCTCTAAGGCGAATTGGCTACCCACTGCGCCACCGCTGTTAAACATCATTTGGGAAAATGATTGTTAGTCACTGGACTAATAATTGCGATATCAACTGTATAATATAAAATAAAATATAACAAATGTGTCTGTTGTGTGTGGTTAAAGTGGCTGAAACGGTTTGGCATCAGGAATCTGCATCTGGATCTTCACCGGCTGCTCTCTGGTCCCGAATGCCGCCATCAGGACACACTGGTGCCGTCCGTCCAGAGGAGAGTGTCTGCGAAATACTGCGCCATATTCCCCAGCATCCAGATCAATGTGAGCTCAGCACTGACACCGAGAGCTTGTGTTTAAAGGGACAGTTCACCAAAAATTAAGATTTAGAAGTCGGTCACACTGAATGCGCTTTTCCCTTTTCAGAATACAAGAATACAAAAAACAGAGCTGCACTTTTTATGTCACTGGTAGGCAACGACTGAATCAGCTGCGTATTTTAAGCGAGTGCTGCATCTGATTATAATTGTAATATCTAATAATTGGTGCTGTCAATCGATTAAAAAAATTTAACTAATTAATCACACTTTTTTAATTGCGATTAATCACATTTAAAAGACTGAAACTACACAATAAACAATCAAGATCCTGGCTTGACAGCCATATTTATTACAGAAATTAAAACACAGGCATGTTAATGACATTTAAATTTCAAAACAATCAATGCCAATAAAGAAAACATTAATTTCCAAGTTGGATTCTAAGTGGACTGCAAAAAAATGCCAAAATACAGGCATTACAGATATGGGAATTGGAAAATTACAATAATAGTAATAAAGTAATGAATACAAACAATTGCACTCAATGTAAATTTGTATTGCTGTGAGTTGACAACATTAATTATAAAGTAGAAACAATTTTGCTCAGTCCTCCTTTACATTCATCCAGTTGCTAAGTTGCAGTCCAGACATCCCAAGTCTCCTGGAAGTTGCGGGAGTGACCCGCAAATGCACAGAGACTCCCGGATGCCCACATATGAATGATAATCTCCCAGAAATTGCGCGTCTCCCGCCCGGTCCTTAAATACGTTGCACACCCCTCTCCACCACATCCCTCCTAGCTCTTCAGGTACGCCGCGCGCAGCTCACCCCCACCGCTGTTTAGGTACATCGTGCGCAACTCACCCCCACCGCTCTTCAGGTACGTCGCGAGCACACGCTCCTACTCAGATACATCACTCACTTAACCCCTGACACAGACACACACAACGTGCCTGAGCGACTCCCTTCAGATTCAACACGCATGATCATTCTGGATAGCCTGGTGATGCGACATTAATTGTTTTATACGGAAACTTGCCTTCAAAAAGTGCTTCCTTGGTCTTATCCATATTTCTTTGCATGTTGAACACGTCCACATGAACAGGAAGTGAAAAAAAAAACCTGCAACTGAATTAATTGCGTTAATTTTTTTAAAATCGTTAAATATTTCAAAGTAATCGCATATGTTAACGCACTAATTTTGACAGCACTATTAATAATATTTTGATATTCATGATTTGTAAAGTCATACAGCTCCAGATACCTCGAAAAGGGGCTACTAGTCTCTCCACCATCTTTAAAAGTCTCTGTAGACATCTTGACAACACAAACACTGCTGTCATCTCAAAGGAAACACCGCCTCTGCGTTCATTTAATTGGAGAATGAAGAAAAGGCATGACTGATGTAGTGCATTTTTTTTTACGGTCCTTATTTTAACTGAAGGTGCACAAGACTCATTAGCAACACCCAAATCACTTGTAGCCATTAGAAAACCATTCAAAACAGGTGCCTCTCAATGCAAAAAAAAAAAAACGTGTTCGTTGTGATCAAAGCCTTCCTCACTATTTACTCACCCTCAAGTGATTATAAACCTTGAGCATCAAAGAAGATATTTTGAAGAATACAGAAAACTTGACATCCACGGTAGGAAAAACAAATACTATGGAAGTCAGTGGTTACAGGTTTTCAGCATTCTTCAAAATATCTTCTTCAGTTTTCAACAGTTGAAACTCTTGTTTGAAACAAGTGAAGGGTGACAGAATTTTCTCTTTTTTTGAGTGAACTATCGCTTTTAATGTCATAACTGATGTGTGTGTGTGTGTGTGTGTGTGTGTGTGTGTGTGTGTGTGTGTGTGTGTGTGTGTGTGTGTGTGTGTGTGTGAGTGTGTGTGTGTGTGTGTGTGTGTGTGTGTGTGTGTGTGTGTGTGTGTGTGTGTGTTATATTGTTGGCAGGGGGCTGTGAAACACCTGCACCTGAGTCCAGCTGAGCTGAAGCAGTACATCAGTCAGACGGAGACTCTGATGCTGCGCTACTGCCAGAGACTGCAGTGGCTGCTGACCGGTACTGATGGTGACATTTGAGGAAATACACATTTATTTGAAGTATCTTCTTTTGTGTTCAACGGAAAAAAAGAAACAAACCCTTTACTTGCAGCCCATTTGAACTCTCTCAGCCACTATAAAGTAAAGCTGTTGGGTCTGTTTGTAGAGTTGTTAAATGATCCTCTGCTGAGATTTTGAGAAATTTATTCCACATACATAGGTATTTTTATGAGTTTTCGCTGCCATTTTTAAATCTCTGTTCACAAAAAAGCACCATGAGGCATTTTGCCCAACTAACAGATGGCAATAAAAGCCTTTCATGCTGGGTTTACACTAGTGCTGTCAAAATTAGTGCGTTTGCGAATGTGATTAATTTGAAATAATTAATGCGTTAAAAAAAATTAAAACAATTAATGCAGTTGCCGTTTTTTATTTCCTGTTGTGGTCGACGTGTGTTTAACATGCAAAGAAATTTGAATAAGGCCAAGGAAGCACTTTTTGAAGGCAAGTTTCGGTATAAAACAATTAATTCTCATCACCAGGGTCTCCAGCGTTTTCTCTAGAGTTTCGTGCAATTTCAGGTGTTTAATTTTTAACTTTCGACTTCTGTTTAAATGGAGTTTGATCCCACATGGTGATCGTAAAGCAAAACCTCTGCATTTCGTGACTTGGTGTTCCTTTAAGGTAGACAAAAATCGCTGCTTACATGGTAGACTCAATAAGACTATTATCTTAATCATATTAAAATTGGAGTATTTGTGTCTTATGTAAATGTACTCAGAACTTGACATGATGTCGCGAGCTCTCAGACAGCGCATTCATCTGCCTTTCAGCATGAGCCCTCAAATGTGTCATTAAGTTTGACGTGTTTCCCCCTTACACGCAAGTGTCTGCTCCGCGTTGTTGTGTCAGAATCCTTGTGAAATACAGCCATACTTTAGAACGCTTAGTTTAAGCAAATTTGATGAACGCAATCATGCATGTTGAATCTGAGTGGAGTGTGTGTGTGTGTGTGTGTGTGTGTGTGTGTGTGTGTGTGTGTGTCTGTCTATCTGTCTGTCTGTGTATGTGTCTGTGTGTGTGCGCGTGTTTCTTAGCAACAAACCTGCATAAACGTCCATAGCCACTAAATCAAAAAGTTACGAATTGCTGTGAGATTGCTTTGCACCAATGACTGTAAAAAATATGGACGACGCGACAGCCCCTTTTCCCATTGAACGATTTGAGGGCAAAACGCCTGCTTGACGGGCACAAACTGTCGCAAAAGACTGCTGAAATTGGAGCCTTGACATGCGCAGAAGGACTGTCTGATGGAGTCAGAGGAGGAGCCGCGAAAATGAGCGGAGTCGAGCTTCCAACCAAACGCTTTATGTAAAATCAAACACGCCCCCCGAACTTCTCAGCATGCGTTTGCTGTCATATCACCACAAATGGATGTAATAACGTTAACAAATATGAAGGTTTTATATATTCAATCGCGCCAGCTCCGGGGCGCAGCGCATAACCTACTCGCGGCGTCGTGGGCTGATTCTGGCTCGCATGCGGCAGCGCCGGCTCGCTCGGCCGCCGCATCTGGCTCGATTGACTCGTGCTGGAATCGGGCAGTGAGTCCAGGCATCTGGAGTAGGTCCAGCAGATCAGTCAGTCTGAGCTCTGAGGGGTAAGTCTCCGGCAGGCGAGAATCTAGCCGGAACTGGCCCGAGTGTGTTTTGCTATCTGGGTGGTTAGGCGTGTATCAGCAAACTAATAAACCCCGAAAAAAGCCCTGACCTTAGCGAGTAAACAGTGTTCCAACAGGATCATGTGTGTCAGAAGCTGTAGTTTACTGCTGAACTCATTTTGTCATGGTAAAATAACACAGAAATCGAATAATAACACTTCAGTCTCCTGCTGAAGCTCAGACGCGCTGCTTTGAGAAACTGTCAATCACAGCTGTCAATCACGATGACACGCCCAGCATTAAATTACTGCTAAAAACAAACTGTTTACAAAAATGAAGATCTGCACCTATTTCAGCACAATAACCAGTGCCTTAATCTACCAGAACCATCTTTCGGGACAGTTTATTGCAAGTGTAATAATTTTTTTTATTTGGGCTCAAGTCTTCTTCATTAACACAGAGGAGGCGGGCTTTATGACTTGTACTGCAGCCAGCCCCCAGGGGGCGATCTAACGGCCGAGACCTTCACTCAAACACAGGCTTGCGGCACACTTGCTTTGCACTCTCAGCTCACATCATTCAAAAGAAAAGGTCCACATTGTTCCCCGATAATGTCAACAGACTAAACTGTCTTAGCAACTGACTGAATGTAAAAGAGGACTGAGTAAAATTGTTTCTACTTTATAATTAATGTTCTCAACTCACAGCAATAAATTTACAATGAGTGCAATTGTTTGTATTTAGTACTTTATTGTTATCATAATTTTCCATATCTGTAATGCCTGTATTTTGGCATTTTTTTGCAGTCTACTTAGAATCCAACTTGAAAATAATTGTTTTCTTTATTAGCATTGATTGGTTTAAAATTTAAATGGAATTAACATGCCTGTGTTTTTATTTCTGTAATAAATATGGCTTCCAAGCCAGGATCTTGAGGGTTTATTGTGGGTTTGTTGTTTACATAAAGGAATCTGTGTTACAAGTTAAACAAAATTCTAATGAACAATTATATTTTGAATTTAAATAGTTTTTGTCTTGCGTTTACATTAATTCTACATTTGAATAGCCAAAATTACACATTTCAGTCTTGCGATTTATTAGTTAATTTTTTTATCGATTGACAGCACTAGTTTACACCAATCGTGACGTGCAATAAAGTATTTCTGCGAGTACATCGCAAATGTAAACATTGAAGCAGATTTACCATCCCTCAGTGCGAACGACGCAGAAGACACAGTGCGTTTGCCATGGATTTGCAGAATTTGCCTCAATTTTGTTTTCCCCGTTTGGTGTGAACCCAGCCATGTTGGCCAATCAGAGAGGAGAAAACAGTGTTCATGCTGACTTCGTGAGACAAAAAACCTAGTAGTGTTCACACGACCAAACTGTAGATCACTATGTTTTGTAAGAGATCTCATTTCTTTCCCATGTCTCTACATGTGGTCAGGCAGCAGGCGTATGTTTGGGTCAGTTCTGGAGAAGGAGGTCTGCCTTCTGCTGGATGTGTCTGGGTCAATGGCCTCCTGCTTCCCTGAGCTCCAGAAAGGACTAACATTACTGATCTGGGATCAGCTGCATGCCAACAGTGTGAGGTGAACTCTTTTTAATCTAGAAGAAGATCACATTTTACCTCTGATATTAAGATGAACCTACATACATCAGATCACATATGGGCAGGACTAAATGCAGATGTGAAGAGGATGTAACAAAGACCCTCTTTTCTCTCCACCACCTCACCACACAACAACCCCAAAACATTACTAATTCTGAGCATGCCTCACGCTGGTGAGAGGGTTTGACAAACCACTTGTAGAAAACACTCTTTCACCTCTCTGACACTTTTGCACCAGACATGTTCCTACAATCACTCACATTGTGCATTTATGAAATGAGCTTTACATGGGTGAGTGGGCTTGACAAACCACCTGTAGAAACACTTTACATTGTACCCCAACATCGTAGAAACGTTACATTTTGTTTGAAAATGAAAAGCAGGATGACATCAGAACTTAACCTCAGGTCGACGTCAATGTCCAACGTCCAACCTAAAATCAATCAAACATTAATGTCTAGTGATGTTAGGGCTTGACGTTGTGTAGACATTAGCGCTATGACGTCTATCAGATGTTGGATGTTGTTTGCCATACCTCATGAATAAATGTCAGTATTTGACGTCAGTATGACGTTGGTTTAAAGAGCTTCTATTATGGGTTTTTGAAAATGACCTTCCATGTGTGCAACACAACTCTAAGTGAAGTGAAATATCCAGCTAAGGCTTAAATCTGAAAGTGCACCGTGTTTAAAACTATTGATTCATCTATAAAAGAGTCGACTCATAGTGCTTCGAATGTATCGTCTTGATAACGAGTCTTTAGCTGTTTCAGCGTGACGTCGATACGAAACTTAAGGCCCTCCCAATTGTTGCTTGCGCAAACTCTGGAAAATTGAAACCTGCGGCCCCACCCACAGACAATAGCAAAGAAAAAGAGGAAGACAGTCACTGTAGCAGATCCCAGTTGAATCAAGTCGTGAAGATGCTGTGCTCAGCTGGATATTATTGGAATTACAGGAGATTTCCGGGATAAATAACAAAATGGGAGGGTGGAGGGAGATCGGTCTGAAATACGGGAGTGTTGGCAGGTATGCTCACACTCTGCACTCTGACTACTTCAATATTGTTGATAAGCCGTGGTGGGCATTTCACTCTGTCTCGCGCTGAACGGTGTCAAGCAATCACAACAGACTTTAGTCATTGGTCCAATCAGCGCAGATAAGCATTGCGCTACGGAGGGGTTTGGGAACAAATGAATCGCTGAACAAATCATATAAGAGTCACTTGGATATCATTCATTTATTAATTTTCTTGTCGGCTTAGTCCCTTTATTAATCTGGGGTCGCCAGAGCGGAATAAACCGCCAACTAATCCAACAAGTTTTTACGCAGAAGATGCCCTTACAGCCGCAACCCATTTCTGGGAAACATCCACACACACATTCACACACACACTCATACACTACGGACAATTTAGCCTACCCAATTCACCTGTACTGCATGTCTTTGGACTGTGGGGGAAACCGGAGCACCCGGAGGAAACCCACGCGAAGGCAGGGAGAACATGCAAACTTCGTCACTGGGATAATTCGGTAAAAATAAATGCATATTATAAGGCAATGAAAGTGTTTTTTGACCTTGCATGCATATCAGCCTGTTGTTGGAGACCCTAAAAACCAAAATATGACCCTTTTTAATGTATAAAAGGGACACTTTAAGATGTTGGCTTAACGCTGGATTTTAGTCACTTTCTAACACAACCTAAAATCAACCAAATATCAACGTCATCATTTGTCGTTATTGGACATCAGAATTGACGCTGGCTAGACAACTGGTCACCTGACATCACAACCTAAATCTTACCCAATATTGACAGCTTATGATGTTGTGTGCCTGCTGGGCAATAACTAAATGCACTACAGAATGTTACGTTTACACACATCCACAAATTACATTTAAACGCATCAGCTTTTAACAGCGTGATACTCACTACTCACTACTCTTGAGTACTTTTCAAAGGTCTACTTTTTACTCAAACTTTGAGTAATTTTACTACAGATATTTTTACTCTACTTACATTTTTAGGCAAGTAATGGTACGTTTACTTGAGTATGATTTTTCAGTACTGTTTCCACCATTGTTAATGACAACATATAATTTAAAAAAATTATGTAACATGTAAATGTGTTGAGCAATCATTTCATCTTTTGTAGTGTAAACGGTACATGTATTCATCTCAAACTTTCACGATTCGGCTCTTGCACTCTCACGACGAATAGAGTCAGAATACAGTGGGTGACGCTTTAACCATAGTTTACATCCGCTAAAATATCAACAACACAATTTTCAGTGTGGCCAGCTTTGTTTTTTTTTTCCCACAATGTATCTATTTTGACATTCACTCTGGCTGAGTAAGTTCAGATTGCAATCAGATATGCAGAAAACATGTGACTCTAGAGCCCAAAACCAATCTTATGTTGCACAGGTATACTTTATTGGATTAAAAATGCATCTTTTAATTACAAAAATCGCCATAATATTAAGTAAAGGTCATGGTTTATGAACTTTTTTTGTAAATTTCCTACTGTAAATACATCAAAACTCTGATTAGTTTTGTGCATTGTTAAGAACTTAGTTTGTTTCATTTCATAAAAGATTCTCTCAGTATTTCGATTTCTTTGCACACTCCAGATTTTCAAATAGTTGGTCATTTTGTCCTAACAATCCATACATCAATGAGCAAAGCTTATTTATTCAGCGCGCTCTATTGTGCATCTTCATTAATATTCATTACTGTCACGGTGTTTAGACGACAGAGACGCCACGTTGTGTTGGCAAAACAAGCGTGAAGTGTTGCTTTTATAGTTTGCTGCAGTTTTGTTTTCATTTTCTCTCTGTGAGAGCTCATATGGAGTCACGTGTGGATTAACAGTGTACGCGACGCTCGACAACAATAACTTACGTGTCTAAGGAGGAACATTGTTTACCTGAGAGCTGTTCTCATCTGCAAATGCTGAGATCCGCATTCGCTTGTAGTCTCCTCTTAATAAAGACGTGGCTCTAGTTGCTGGTGATTGTCCTGTCTCTACAGATTTGGTAAATGAGCGACCAGTGCTCTTTGTTTATTCAGTTTGTTCGTATCGAACTAACTATTGCACCGAGTGTAAACATGTTAGAACCACAACCAAACTTTAACCTCGTGTAGGATTTTCACCGCATTTAGTGATCGGAATAACACACGCGGCTTTCTGACACTACCTGCCGTGTGCATCTAAGTTTCCCGGAAATGCAGAGGTTTTTTTCTCTCATTCGCTGTGCGGTATCAAACATTGCATGAAAAATACACGCTTACAGCAGTTCCTCGAATCAAATATCTCGTTTGTCGCGAGGGACATGAATGAATTCCCTGAATAAAAGAGCCAAACTGCAGTTAAAGTCTACCATTTAATAATTTGGCAAATAATTCGACTACAGATGTCCAAGTAAACACCATCACTTTCTCCCCTGTGTGTGTGTTTTGACTTTGAAACTTAGCGCGCCCAAATAGACACTCCTACACCATCCCACTTTTCTTCCTCCGACACTCCCTCCTAAACAAAGCTGGACACGCCCACTTTTCTGACTGTTTCCAAAGTAGAGGTGTGAAAACACCCTGCTGAAACGAGGGGGTTTCATGGCCCTTTAATACACAACAACAAGGGAAGTTTATTTATAAACTAATTTCGTGAGGATCACGTGCTTATGATTGCTTCCAGCTGGTTCCGCATTATTCAATTCATGATTCACCAATCAGACGACTCCTAAGCCACTATAAATAACCTAATCTCCATATAACAGCCATCTTCGTATTGAAGAATCCCCCCTTCCACTCCTACTCCTCCTCCTTTCCTAGATGGGTGGCAAGGTGGCCCAGTGGTTAGCACTGTTGCGTCACAGCAAGACCGTCACTGGTTCTAATCCTTACCAAGCCAACCGACGTTTCTGTGTGGAGTTTACAAGTTCTCCTTGTGCTTACGTGGGTTTCCCCTGGGTTCCACAAAAACATGCAACTTAAGTTAATTGACTAATCCAAGTCAACACCATAGACATGCTCCTAGTAAGTAGTTATCTCTTAAGAGCAATCACTATCTGTTCATTAGCTGCTACAGCAGGGGAGTTCTCGAGATCTACCTAAGCTCAAACTCCCCTCTCGCCTTGCAAATGGGAGGGAGCCCCAGGCTCGATGATCTTATAAGCTCTGGGCTCTCTCGCGGGACAGCATGCCAAACAAGCTTTATATTCAATCGTCAGCTAAGTGTGAACTCTTGAAATGTAACATAACCTGCAATGACAGATTTGTGTGTGTTGGTCAGGTTTAATATGCTGGCGTTCTCTAGAGGGCTGTGTATGTGGCGTCCGGCTCTGGTTCAGTCGACAGAGGATCAGTGTGTTCATGCAGTGCAGTGGTTGAGTCAGATCAACACACACGGCTCTTCATCCACACTGACAGCGCTGCAGGTACTCACATCTGCACCCATGATCACACCGCTTTCTGAAAGTACAAATTCACAGTAGTAGTAAGTGTGTGTGTATATGTGTGTGTAATCTGTGCTCCAGACAGCCTGTGGGCTGGCAGATGGCGTTGGTGTGTATCTGATCAGTGACGGGCGCAGCGACTGCAGCCACAGTTTGATTCTGACAGAGATGGAGACTCTGAGAAGAGAGAAGAGCTTCACCGTACACACCATCGCACTCAACTGCTCTGATAGGTACACACACTCCCAGCATACACTGCCAAATCACCATGACCGTTTGAACCTGGTCAGTTCCTGCATTAACTGAGAAAACTAGGTTGATACTAATGTTACCAGAAGGGGGCGCTCATCATGCACTCTGTGTGTGTCCTAATGCTTCAGTAAAGCAGCTGGGGTTCCATCAGCATTTATTAATGGACAACATAAGAAACGATTGATAGAAGTGGCACATTTCAAATAAAAATCCCTTAATTCACTAAATTTATGCTCACTTGGGTTGTGTGAAAAGGGTTATAGTAAATAATGAGAGGGAATTACTCAAAATGTTTCATGCAACCCTGCCTCTTTGACCCCCCGTTTTTATAATAAAACTGCATACAATAAAACTGCACCTCCTTTATCATTCTCAGTTCATTTAAGTTTTGACACTGAAAGTGTATGTGACGGTATGTGTATTGTTTTTAAATGTATTCATGTTTTTATACTTAATTGAACAGGTCAAGCAGTGATTTTCTGAAGCGTCTGGCCCATAAAAATGGAGGACGTTTCCATCAGGCTCCTGAAAGCACAGATCCAGATCTGATCAGAGAACAGCTGTCGGACCCGAGCAGTGCAGTATGTACATGCTCAATCCTGTTCATTTTAATCAGGGTTGCCAGTTTTTCACAACAAAACTAGCCAAAAAATAAAATATGCCAGTGCTTATTTGTAAAATACACATTTTACATCACTGTATGCTTATATATGGTTTCTTTTTTTAAAATAACGTTATATTAGTAATTATAAATGCTTAAAGTTTTTTTTTCAAAAATGAAAAAAAGAAACCATCAGTCTTATAGTAATAATACATTTGTTACGACGACAGCAAGTATGTTGTCTGATGTCCAGTTTAAATATAGGCAAATTGCAGAACAATTCTGGCAGAAGTGAACCCCAAAATTGTGAAATTAATTATAATTTAAAGATATATATTTATATTTATTTTTATTTATTTTATTTATATTTATATATATATTTATTCATTTAATTTTCCTAAATTGTAAATCAACTGAATGTAAATCAACTTTCTTCTCTCTATTTCTGTAGTTATTACACGATCTCTTCTCCACAATCCCCACACCTCACAAAATACTCTGTTTTATCAGAGTAAAAATAGTCAAATATTTTAACGCAACCATTAAATATAATTAATATAATATGTCAAACTATAAGGGAACACTCCACCTTTTTTATTTTTCAAGTCTCCTTAGTTAAACAGTTGACTTGACAGAACTACTTGAACTGTTTTAGAATCCATTTAGCTGATTTATTGTGGTGGGGTTACTTTTAGCTTAGCTTAGCATAATGAATTGAATCAGATTAGGCCATTAGCATTTCATTAAACAAAAATCTAAATTTAATAATTTGATAATTTTCCTATTTATAGCTCAGGTCTTCTGTAGGTACATTTTGTAATTAAAAAATGTAAAAAAATAAATAAAAAAAATAAAATTAAAAAACTATGTGGTTAAAAGTAGCCAGTTATGTAGGAACAACAGACTTGGCAACCCTGATTTTAATGGCCATTTCTTTAACATCAGTGTATTGATTTGTAGTTTTCTTTATGTTTGCATACATTTCAGCAGTCTTTTTTTCTGAAATGTCATTCTGACTACCGTATGTCCACAGTTGAATCTTCCAGAGTTTGAAGGAGACGATTTAAAGAGACTGACAGAGGAGATCCAAAAGCTGAGATTGTTCCAGAAACAAGCCAAAGCCTTCAGGTGTGTGTCTGTGTTTGTATGTGTGTGTGTGTGTGTGTGTGTGTGTGTGTGTGTGTGTGTGTGTGTGTGTGTGTGTGTGTGTGTGTGTGTGTGTGTGTGTGTGTATGCTTGTTTTGGTGGTTTACAAAGACACAAATTTGTATAATGACATGGGAATGACCTAGGTATTACAATGTTGAGGTGGATTATAAGGACATGCCCTCTGTCCTCATTATTTAAAACGCTTAAAAGTTATATTTAACATGGAATTATGGCATTCAGATTTCCAAGTTTTTAGGTAGGGCTGGGGTTAGGCCATCTAATTAGTGTTTTCTTACAGTATAATATACATTACGCCTAAATGGAGAGTCCTCATAAACCACCAAAGTCCTTGCAAGTATAGCAATACCAGTAAATTAGAAAAATGACTCATAAATCACACAGAATGAGGTATTCTGAATATGCAAAAATGGCGAGTGTTTTCTGTCAGAGTTGGGATTATGGGATGAAATATACAGTCTGTTCAGTATAATGTCATCAAGTCCATGAGAAGTCTTTATAAACATACCTGTACAGGTGTGTGTGTGTGTGTGTGTGTGTCTGTGTGTGTGTGTGTGTGTGTGTGTGTGTGTGTGTGTGTGTGTGTGTGTGTGTGTGTACTTGTTTTGATGGTTTACAAAGACACAAATTTGTATAACATGGGTATGACCTAGGTTTTCCAATGTTGAGGTGGATTATGAGGACATGCCCTGTGTCCTCATCATTCAAAACACTTTAAAATTATACTTAACATTGAATTATAGCATTCAGAATTTCAACGTTTATAAATAGGGCTGGGGTTAAGTGTTTTTTACAGTATAATATATATTACGCCAATATTGAGAGTCCACCAAATGTCATTAAACCACCAAATGTCCTTACAAGTTCAGCAATACCAGTAAATTAGAAAAATGACTCATACATCACACAGAATGAACTATTTTGAAAATGTAAAAGTGTCAAGTGTTTTCTGTGAGGGTTGGGTTTATGGGATGAAATATACAGTCTGTTCAGTATAATGTCATTAAGTTCATGAGAAGTCCTCATAAATATACCTGTACAGGTGTGTATGTGCTTGTTTTGGTTGTTTACAAGGACACAAATTTGTATAATGACATGGGTATGACCAAGGTTTTCTAATGATGAGGTGGATTATGAGGACATGCCTCTGTCCTCATCATTCAAAACGCTTGAAATGATGCTTAACAGGAACTTATGGCATTCAGAATTTCCATGTTTCCAGTTAAGGTTATGGTTAGGGCTAGGGTTAGGCCATCTAATAAGTGTTTTCTTTCAGTATAATATACATTACACCTATATAGAGAGTCCTCATAAACCACCAAATGTCCTTGCAAGTATAGCAATACCAGTAAATTAGAAAAATGACTCATACATCACACAGAATGAAGTATTTTGAAAATGTAAAAGTGTCAAGTGTTTTCTGCGAGGGTTGGGTTTATGGGATGAAATATACAGTCTGTTCAGTATAATGTCATCAAGTCCATGAGAAGTCCTCATAAATATACCTGTATATGTGTGTATGTGCTTGTTTTGGTCGTTTACAAAGACACAAATTTGTATAATCAAAGACATATAATTTGTATAATGACATGGGTATGACCAAGGTTTTCCAATGATGGGGTGGATTATGAGGACATGCCCCTGTCCTCATCATTCAAAACACTTAAAAATAATGCTTAACAGGAACTTATGGCATTCAGAATTTCCATGTTTCCAGTTATGGTTAGGGTTAGGGCTAGGGTTAGGCCATCTAATAAGTGTTTTCTTTCAGTATAATATACATTACACCTATTGACCTTATTCTAAAATGCGGAGGTGCGCCTGTTTTCGCGATTGTCTTAGAACTTCCGTTTCAGTCGCCTATGGGAGAAATGACAAGGAATAATAATCGGCAAAAAACGGTCAAACTACTTGCTCTACAAACAAATGTTTGCATGACTATACAGACCAAGTAGAATAATATAACAAGGAAATATCAGTTTGCAAAATCAAACAGCGAAACGAGCAGTTTTTAATGTCTAAAAATGAATGGAAGTGAAAGAGACCGGAAGTCTCGTGCCAAAAAGATTCAAATGGCAGCGCCCGCTCGTCTGCGGAGAATAAGGTCAATATAGTGAGTCCTCATAAACCACCAAATGTCCTTGCAAGTATAGCAATACCAGTAAATTAGAAAAATTACTCATAAATCACACAGAATGAGATATTTTGAATATATGCAAATTGTTTCCTGTGAGCGTCATGATTATGGGATGAAATATACAGTCTGTTCAGTATAATGTCATCAAGTCCATGAGAAGTCTTCATAAAGATACCTGTACAGGTGTGTGTGCTTGTTTTTGGTAGTTTACTAGAACACAAATTGGCATAACATGGGTATGACCTAGGTTTTCCAATGATGAGGTGGGTTATGAGGACATACCCCATGCCCTAATTATTCAAAACACAAAAAATTATACTTAACATGGAATTATGGCATTCAGAATTTCTACGTTGTAAGATTAGGTTGGGGTTAGGGCTAGGGTTAGGCCAATTTATAAGTGTTTTTTACAGCATAATATACATTACACCTATATTGAGAGTCCTCATAAACCACCAAATGTCCTTACAAGCATAGTAATAGCAGTAAATTAGAAAAATGACTCATAAATCACACAGAATGAACTATTTTGAAAATGTGAGGGTTGAAAATATATACAGTCTGTTCAGTATAAAGTCATTAAGTCTATGAAAACTCCCCTTAAATATAGCAGTACAGGTGTGTGCATTCATTTATGAGTTCTTGTGTAATGTTTGATGTTACTGTAGACTTAGAAATGCTGAATTTTGTTTTCACAGGGAAACTGTTTTGGAGTCAAGGAAACGAGAAGGAACATAAACGCTGATCTGAGCCTGTTCTTATCATGGAGCTTTACTTGCATATGGTGACATTGACATTTTAGTTAAATATTAGCAGAAAATATAATATTTTGATCATGATTTACAGAAAACACTCACTAAAATATAGCTGTGTATTATAATTATAAGTTTATACATTACAAAAATCGTGTTAGGCACATTTAGAACAAGTATCGTATGATGATTTATTAAAAAATATATTATAAGAAATTATTTTGGATCAAAATTTATTATAATCACTTATTTTTATGTATTTTGACAGGTACAGCTCAGATTGTGTTGTTTCGCTTTGACATAAATATATCTGTTACAGTCAATGATAATGGAGCATTATTTCACTCATATTTAATCGTCTTATTTTCACAAAATGCGTTTTTGTGAACACTGAAGTACACATCTGTATTTAATAAGCTTTTTATTTATTTAATATCACTTTATTTAATTAGATTTGTGGACTAACATGTCTTCAAATGTCAGATCTGTATCAAATTTACATTTATTTATGTTCAATTTAATTTAAGCTTACTGTTATAAGGCTTTTAACAATAATTCTCTTTCCAAAGCAGCTTTTCAAAAGGTGTGTGCTATTGGTTATTACATTATAATATTTATAAACTGTTTGTTAAATATCCTTACCTGGACGCACCAAAAAAATAAAAAAAAAAAAAATATATATATATATATATATATATATATATATATATATATATATATATATATATATATATATATATATATATATATATATATATATATATATAGATATAGCCATAGCGTCATCTGCTGGCACAGGAAGTGTTTCATATCTAAATGACAGACATATTCCTCCTATACTGTATATATTTATCTCCAGAACTGCATATTGTGCTTAATTTGGCCTCTGAGTGGGGCCTTTCAACACTGTTTACAGCTTTAATTTGTAATGCAATGCCACATTAAAATGTACAGTTTACATGTAGATCAGTGGTGTAGTATTTGCTATGACCACGTATACTCAGTATGCTTACTTTTTCCATGAGCTGTTTAGGTATTACTTCTTCTAAGGATCAACAATTGAGTATACCCTCAGTATACTCACTTGTTTTTCTGATTAAACCTCCCTAATTTACATGTATTTGCGTCCCCTTCAACTGTATACCAAACTGTTTTTTTTTAACTCACAACTTAATTTGTTAAGATGTGCCTATTTCTTACAATTCTTACTTAAATATATATGTGACACATTTTTCTTTGTTTACCCCAAAAGGATCTGATCCTGATCCACCCTAAAATTAAAATCCTAAAATCGCCCCTGTAAAACAGTATTTCACATTTGTCTTAATTGTGCCGCTAGTGAACGACACTATACCGTATATAACACTAAAAACAATTAGGCAAAGACTACTCGTAAATCGCGTAACAATGTGCGATTTAAAAGGGTAACTACTAGTATATAATTGCGACAAAAGAGGACAGACTCCTAATAGTTTGGTTTAAAACAAGCATGCACGAATGTGACAATTAAAAATAATTGCTGATTGATGTTTAAAAGAACCTATAAAATGTAAAGTAATAAGCCAGTCAAGAAAGTAAGCTAAAAAGCTGTCTTTCCATGTATGCACAGGCCCTTTTGAGTTAACTTAAATACAGGTAACTGATGTAAAAAAAAAAAAAAACTAAATATATATATATATATATATATATATATATATATATATATATATATATATATATATATATATATATATATATATATATATATTTATTTATTAATTTATTATATATTATTATATATTCATTTAAAATTTGTGTCGGGTGTAATAGTACACCACCTTTTTTTCTAGGACTACACCACTGATGTAGATGTGTATGATGCTAATAACAGTGGGAGCAGGTCATTAAGGGGATCTATTTCTGAAAATAACAAGCATCAATCTGAAGCCCCATTTTGATGATGTCATCATGTAGACTTCTCACAAAGTATTTTACAGTGTTTTAAAATACACAAATACAAGACGCTAAAGTATTTTAATACAAATTATTAACACGTTTTCATAAACCCCGTAAAATACAAATTACAAATTTGGTATTTATTTATATTTGTATTCTATTTTGTATTTAAAATACTTATTTTAAATACATGTATCATAAATACTGCCCATCCCTGGAGGCGACAGTGCCACACACTGCCCCACTGTGCTGCTCTTAAATCTAAAAGTACAGATGGAAATACAAATTATAGAGTGTTCAGTATATAGGCATGGGCAGATTCTGATGGTATGATAACCTTGAATAAAAATATGAAGGTTTCACAGTATCGTGTTCATTGCTCTAAAATATCTTCTTTTTAAATGTCTGGGTAAAAAAACAACAACTTTTTTTCCCCTTTGAACTCAATATATTTTATTTTTTGAAAGATTTATAATATTTTGGAGCAGTAAACACGTCAGGCTGAATAATGAAAATCAATCGCTGACTTCTGCTGTCTGGATTAGTTCCAAAATCACTGATTTCCTCACCATTTAAAACTTCTTTGCATATTTTTTTTTCTGCTGGAAATACTGTCGTCCTAAAAAAAATTATAAAAACTAAAAAAAATCTTACACATACTATAGGAATGGTATTACAGAAATTTTTGGCTGTTTTAAAACCTTGACTTTTCCAAACCGCGGTATACCTTAAAAGCGGTTATCATCCCATGCCTAGTGTTGAGCTTGAGAGCTCTTCACTACAGGCTGGTCTGCATACAGACTTGCGAACCTAAAACATTTAATCCTTCTCTTCAAATACCCTTTAAAAGCAATGAATGGTTCTTTTGTTAAAGTTAACAAAAAAAGTTGTTCATCTGCAGGGATTTAATAAAAAAATATCAAAGATAGTGAACAAAACCTCGTCACCAGTCACAGTATTTATCAATAGCAGAGGGGAAGGAAAGGTCAGCGAAGAGGGCAACTTGGGCAAGAACGTGTCAAAGTCTATCCTCTGCCTTTTTCTTCAGATTGTTGTTGTCATGGCACATTTAAGTCTGACTGAAATCCGTCCTTACAAAACAAAAAGCGATTGAGGGGTAATCGATGTGTCAGCGCTCTTTGGATAAGAGATTCATAAAGATAAAGAAACAAATAATCAAACAAACAAATCATTAAGGCACTCGAAGGCACTCGAAAAGTAAGTGAAAAAGTTGAAAAGCCTTTATTAACATGGCTATTGTTAAAAAACAAAAACACATCAACACAGGTACGCGTTTCTGCAAAACTTGCCTTCATCAGGGTGACAATGTTTAGGTGCATCTGGTGTTGAACACTCATTTACAGTTTTTCTTGTTTGCTTTGACCTGTTTAAAGAAACTAGGTTCCTCTTCATTTTCATTATCACTATCCTAGCAGAGCAGAAGACAGGTCTAGCAAATGTGTAAACCCTTTCTCATTGGGTTGACACATTTTCCCCACCATTTTTCAAAACAGTTAACACAGATGTCATTCAAGCAGTCCAAACTCCATTGTTTTAGTTATGGTAACCAAACAGAATCCATCTATTCCTAACTATTAAAAACTACCAACATCAGTATGAAATCACTGAAGCACCGGTTTGACACTCCTTCACACAAATCTTCAATAAGCAATCAGTCTGCAAACCTTATAAAAACGATGGAAGGTCTGTGTTGTTCTCTGCCAGCATTGATGGAGGAGGTCAATATGGCTATGTCCTATACTCCCAATAGATTTGACTGTATATTAGTTTACATGTGTTTTCTCTAATATTTACAGTATTTTATTACTTTTGTCTTTTATATATATATATATATATATATATATATATATATATATATATATATATATATATATATATATATATATATATATATATATATATATATATACATACAGTATTTCAGTTTTCAGCCACAGTTTGAAAAATATCATGAGTTCAATATAAATTAAATCAAAGCATATCTTATTCTGGATCCAATTCTTTGCAAAAAAGGCAAATTTGACAGCCCAAATATAAAGACAACAAATGGCATTGGCAATAAGCTACAATAGCAAGCAATGGTGGTGCACTGAGTTCTGTATTTTGTATTTTGTTGTCCATTGTGTAATGATTAATTGAAAGAGCTCATATACTTGTTTGCAAGTTGTGTTGTTTGAAGGTAAAACTAGCTTTTGTTGCATATTTTAAATGTTTTGACACTATATGTGCCTTTTGCAAGCAAAATGTGTCGTTTTGACCATGAGTGCCGCAGTTTAGGCCTATGTGTTAACTGTTTTGAAAATGTGGAGTTTCAGTTGACAACTGCATCAAAGCAAACGAGAAATACCTTAACAGTGGGTCTTTATCACTATAAAGTGCCTTTGAGACATGAACCTTTTCAAAAAAAAAAGTTTGAGATGTTTGATTTAAGCACATAGTTGTTGTATTAATTAGACTTTAGGCTGTAAGAAATGAATGTTGGTCAAGCTCCTGCACATTTTATAATACAGTTTTTATAAAATGTGGCAGAATTGAAAAGTTTTGCCCAATGTGTGTGTGTTTTTTGTGATTTGTGTGTAGAGTTCTGACAATATGAGACCTGCTTTCAGAAAATGTGTGTAAACAATTGGAAAAAAACTGTAACTGTCATGAACTAAGTAAATAAATGAAGTAATAAATATTGTAGCAAGCTTTAGATTTTGTAAACTGTGGTGAATTGTAGTATATATATATATATATATATATATATATATATATATATATATATATATACTAGTAAATACTTGTATTATATATACTATAAATTTTTTCTCAGCCTCCTTTGTTTATGTTGAGATATCACTTTCAAGACCGGGAAAAGGACTTATTCTATGCCATAAACGTACTAAACAAACCCACATGAGACTGATACTTATTTTAGAGGAAATGTTCAGACGGCATTTAGAGGTTTTTGCATCTGATCTCTTCATATATTCAAGTATTCAAGTATTTTTCATGTGTTTGTAGTCACCATAAACCCAACGTGATGTGTGCATTGTGCGCATGCGCGTGCTTTTGGTGTTTTACGGTTACGCGCTCAGGTGAAGCGCAGCAGGTGATTGACAGCTGCAGAACGTCAGAAACTCCGGCAGGATGACGCGGGGCACGCGCAGCTGATGAACAGAGCACACCGATGACCACAGACTGAGGTAAAACATGTCATTTTTCTTTTTTAACTTCATCAGTTGCCTAATAAATGTGTTGTGGAGGAGCAGAGAAATAATAATTAGGACATGCTGCAAATTTAATGATCCTCCAGGACGCACATGCAGGCTGTAGGCTCGTATCGATTACAAACCAGTCTACATTAGTGCTGCTACAACTACATATGTTTTATTTGATATGTCACCCTCTATGCACTGAACACTTGATGTGTGGGTTTAATTGTGCTTTGGGGTTTGCGAGCTGTGTTTTATTTTGGGTCACATTGTTTGGAGGGTTCAGGTTACTCTCTAATTACATGGTAATTCAGTAAAGGGTTTAAGTTTGCCCTATTTTTGGAGCCATTATGGACAGTTCTCTGATAAACACCGGATTCAGTTAGGTATTGTATTTTATTGGGTCATTATTTAACCCTCTCTGCTTTTCCAAAACCTTTTTCCACTTAAACCAAAAGGCAAGCTGATTATTTATGAGACATGGAGTCGACAGGCTTGAGAACAGGAAAGAAGTGTATGTATAAAGGAATTCGTCCATTCAGTGTCATTACTTTGTCATAAAATAATAATAATAATAATAATAATAATAATAATAAATATAGCTGCAAGCAGCAATTAAGGGGCCAAGCACTTTTGCCCAAAAGGTGGCGCTGCTCCTGAAGTTTTTGAGCACTTTCAGGGCATGGGGTTGAAGATGCATACAATGTTTTGTAATGATATGTGAATGTGTTGGTAAAATATAGCATTTTTGGCCAAAAATTGAAATGGGTGATGGCCAAAATGGCTGACCTGTGAAAATCAGACATCATTCGACTCAACATGCTCTGCCGGATGTAATAAGACCAGTTTTACGAGTTTCAGATGAAAGGTTGAGACGTTATAAGCAAAAATGCAAGTTTTTTGTATCTCCAGACCACTATGGGGCAGTGCGCTGAAACTCCGCATATAACCTCAGACCCTAGTTGTCATAACACACACCAAGTTTGGTGTGAATCGGTGAATGCGTTACGGAGATATTGTCTCAAGTCCATTTTCGCAAGTCCTACGTTAAATTTTATCGCAAGTTAAACAAAAACGGTTGGTCAAATCAACTGAAATTCCATAACTTTTGGTTGGCATGGTCTGTAGATCATGTGATTCAATTTTGGTGAAAATCGGAGAAACGGCCTAGGACGAGTTTGATCAAATAGGTTTTTCGAAAAATTTAAAATAGCGCGAAAAAATTCATGACGGAAAATGACGTCATAGGGTTAGGGTTTGAATCGGACTGAGCCAAGGGATCTGAGTTTATAGTATACAACACACTTTGTAGAAAATCTGTGAATTAAACTGCACAACCCAAAAGAAATAATGCTAATCAAAAAGATAAAAGTTGTCTCGCTACAGAACAAACATGATTGATTTCATTTTATTTGACATTTTTGCATTTTTGAGGGAAAAGCTTGGTTATGGATGTGACAGCTTTCCGTTATGGATATGATTGATGTTTAATTGGCACTTGTGCGACTTCGGTAAATCAAATATAATTGTATGAAAACATTGACAGAGACATTTTTTTGTATTTTTACATAACTTTAAAATATAAGTCTACACAAAGCTAGAAAGGGTTTCACTGTGGCAAGGTTGACATTTGCATTGAATTGCTTAGTGGAAAAGCCTCCACAATTGAGCCTTACTGTACCTATACCATATCATGCATTGGAAAAAATGCCTTAAGAGAACGAGAACAACCCTTTTAGACAATACAAAGTGTGTATTGACCTTTTTTCCCATTGTTAAACAAGCAAAAGTGGAATTATATGCCCACACATGTGCCACGAGTTTCTAACCTAGAGGTTAAAATACAGTAGGGAACCTTGTATTTAAACTTCCCATGCCACTAAACCTGTTCTCTGGTTTTGTAATTTGTATTAATTAAATGTGAGGTAAAGTATGTCCCACCTGACCTCAGGAATTCCTCACCTCCACCATTAAAACCTAAATAACATGACAGACAGCTTGAACACCCACACACTTGTAAACAGAGACGTCTCTGTCATTTTGGGTGAAGATTTACTACAAGAAATAAGTTGGAAGTTACTTCAGACGACCTTGGGGTAGTTACTTAATTTCATTGACAGGTTATTGACAGATTATCCTCCAGAAACAGCCATAAAGGAGGTTCTTATTCCCTTCAGTTGTGCATGCCTGATAAAAGGCAGTTTTCGTTTGACTCAAACATCCAGAAACAACATTTAAGAGACAGCTGTCGTTCATTTTCATTGGTGATTCCAAATAGAAAATCTAATCATAACCTTGACAAACAGTTTTGGAGAATTTAATGTTTTCTCATTCAAAGAGTGACCTGACCAATACCTTTAAATACCTGCTACACCCCCAAATCGTCTCCAGAAAAAATTTCTTTCTGTATTTTCCTTTTCCGACAACTGAACTAATTTCGCGCCTCGTGGGACTATTCGACTATTCAACCACAAAATCGAGCAGGACACAAGAACTCCTAAAGGATCTCCAACCTCCACGTGCATCAAGAAAAAGAGAGTAAGAGAGTTAATGCAAGTATTTTCTTTATATGTGCTTTAAAGCTGTGCCCTTTTAAACGTGTTTTAATGATCCTTCTGTGACTCTTGTTAAGTCTGGTTGAACTGAGTCATTCTGTACCCAGCTTCTATTTTCCCTCCCTTTCTTTTACTTACTGTGTGTTATTTATTGTGCGTTTGTGTGTTAGACTAGTCAATAAATCGCGCTATAATCATGTTGGATTGTCTTTGTTTGCCTCACAGAAACGGTAACTTTAAGGGTAAAAGACCCTTGCTACAGCTTATAAAAGTGAAAAAAGTCTTATAGTCGTTGTTACATTTATTTTGTTAAATTAACTTTAAGTTAGTTTTGAATATTCATAATTAATAATAACTTGGTTTTCTTGATCATTAATATTCAAATATTGAGCTAATTTTGCTACAAAGTGTTAAAGGTTACCATGTTCAAAAGTAGTGGTGGGAACTAAAGAAGTGTAAAAGGTTACCATATTCAAAAGTGGTGGCAGGAACTAAATAACTGTAAAAAGTTTACCATATTTAAAAGAAGTGGCGGGAATTAAAGTGTAAAAAAGTTACCATATCCAAAAGTAGTGGCGGGAACTAAGGAAGTGTAAAAAGGTTATCATATTCCAAAGTAGTGGCGGGAACTAAGGACGTGTAAAAAGGTTATCATATTCCAATGTAGTGGCGGGAACTAAAGTGTAAAAAGGTTACTATATTTAAAAGTAGTGGCGGTAACTAAAGTGTAAAAAGGTTACCATATTCAAAAGTAGTGGCGGGAACTAAAGTGTAAAAAGGTTACCATATTCAAAAGTAGTGGCGGTAACTAAAGTGTAAAAAGGTTACCATATTCAAAAGTAGTGGCGGGAACTAAAGTGAAAAAAGGTTACCATATTCAAAAGTAGTGGCGGGAACTAAAGTGTAAAAAGGTTACCATATTCAAAAGTAGTAGCGGGAACTAAAGTGTAAAAAGGTTACCATGTTCAAAAGTAGTGGCGGGAACTAAAGTGTAAAAAGGTTACCATATTCAAAAGTAGTGGCGGTAACTAAAGTGAAAAAAGGTTACCATATTCAAAAGTAGTGGCGGGAACTAAAGTGAAAAAAGGTTACTATATTCAAAAGTAGTGGCGGGAACTAAAGTGTAAAAAGGTTACCATATTCAAAAGTAGTGGCGGTAACTAAAGTGAAAAAAGGTTACCATATTCAAAAGTAGTGGCGGGAACTAAAGTGAAAAAAGGTTACTATATTCAAAAGTAGTGGCGGGAACTAAAGTGTAAAAAGGTTACCATATTCAAAAGTAGTGGCGGGAACTAAAGTGTAAAAAGGTTACCATGTTCAAAAGTAGTGGCGGGAACTAAAGTGAAAAAAGGTTACCATATTCAAAAGTAGTGGCGGGAACTAAAGTGAAAAAAGTTACCATATTCAAAAGTAGTGGCGGGAACTAAAGTGTAAAAAGGTTACTATATTCAAAAGTAGTGGCGGGAACTAAAGTGTAAAAAGGTTACCATATTCAAAAGTAGTGGCGGGAACTAAAGTGTAAAAAGGTTACCATATTCAAAAGTAGTGGTGGGAACTAAAGTGTAAAAAGGTTACCATATTCAAAAGTAGTGGTGGGAACTAAAGAAGTGTTAAAAGGTTACCATATTTAAAAGTAGCGGCGGAAACTAAGGAAGTGTTAAAAGGTTACAATATTCAAAAATTACGGATGGTGGCCGATAGACATCATGATTCTGAGCCGGCATCACGATCTTCAGTCAGACAGTTTATCAAGAATGTAGTGCTGGATTGCGTCTCATTATAGTTGTTAAATGTGATATTTAATTAATCTTATCGGTATAAAGCTTTCACTCGTACTGTTTGTTGGTTTCTGTCGGTTTTGCACCTTTTTTCCAAACAAGTTTGTCGACGCCATCATAATGCCACAGATCCCACAGAAAAAGTGATTGGCAGGTGGTAATTTGTGGTTAAATTATCTTTATTTATTCATGATTTGGTTATGGGTAAAACGAAGGTAGTTGAAATGGAAGGTTACAAATAATTAATTCGTTATGAATTAATAAATTATTCATAAATAATTAATTCACCGCCACCTACAACGACGATGCAATCATCCATTGCTATGTTTCACGTTAGACATCGTACGATGCCAAATTGGTCGACATCGCTCAACCCTAGTGTACATTCTATCCAAATGAATTGCACGGGACTGTTTGGAGCAGTCGGCACTTCAGCTCGAAAACTATTTGATTCCTGGTTATCGCTGATTTAGCAAGTTGTACGGAAATTATGTAATTAATTAAATACATTTTAGTAAGAGTGAGCAGGAGGCGACCAGACTAATTGGGTTTTTGTGAACCCTGCACCCTCTGACTAAATTCAGATTGTCAAGATCCTGTCTGTGAGAAACACGTAAACCCCCGGGCGTGAAAATTTGGTCACTAATGAATTTGGTCACTTAAAAGTAGAGTCAGATTGAATTCAGAGTTGCAAACAAATATAAATAAATTCTAATAAATAACACAATTCTTTTCAGAAGCGCTAAAAAGGCTTAAACGCTTTTAACCTTCGACCATTCATTAGATTCCGTTGTTGGGCTGATAGAATGGGATCTTACAGCAGCAAGAAGTGGGATATAAGCAGTCCCCATGTCTCAACAACCAGTGAGTCAGATTTTGGTAGCGGTTTCAAAGAGCAAGTGCAGGGTGTAAGGAAAAGTTTAGCATCGGCCTCTGTACATGGAGAAGTGAATTATGCATTCATTCACTCACTCATAGGCAGATCCGTTTCACTGTTCATTAGACTCTCGCTGTCTGTGTTCGTCCTGCAGACTGGAGGCATCTGAACCCACGTGTGCATTATGAAGGAGAACAGGTCCTCGTGTCAGATGGAGCAGCTGCCCTGTGCATGTCTACTGGACTGCCACAGGCAGACCCACTCCCGCAGCGCCGCCGCCACCATCCCTCTCAGGCACAGAGCTAACGGGGCTGTGGGCGCCTTGTGCAGCAGTCCCAACTGTGTGGTGTCCGACAGGCTGGAGGACTCGGGGAAAGGGCGGTTCGGGACCGGCAGGGTGCTGGTCACAGGGGGAGCCGGGTACTTCGGATACAGACTGGGCCGTGCTCTGGCCAGACAGGGGGCCGCCGTGGTGCTGCTGGATCTCCACCAGCCGCCCTGGGACATCCCCGATGGAGCCGTCTTCCAGCAGGTGAGGGGAAACCGGAGAGTGTGGGGATATTGGGTTGAGAGGCTGCTGCTGGGGGCGGTGGACTGTGACAGAAGCACAGGTGTGCAGTACAGGACGCGCAGGCCTCGAGTTTCAGAGAGGGTTTATGACTCTTCGCTGATGTGCTCGGGTGTCTCGGAGAAACTGCTGTAGGAAAGAGCTGTGAAAGTGAATCTGAAACTGCCATGAAATGAGTTCACTCTGATATGATTTGCTTTTCTTTACTTGTTTCAATCCTGTTTGAGTTTCTTTCTTCTGTTAAACAGAAAGGAAGATAAACCAAAGAATGCTGGAGAGAAACAGCCATTGACTTCAAGTAATTTGTGTTTTTACTATGGAGGCCAATGGTTGGTTCTTCTTCTTAACATTCTGTAGTGTCTTGTTTTGTGTTTATCAGGAGAGAATTAAACCACTTGAGTTTATTTTTGGGCGAACCAACCTTCAAAATCAGGCTTTGCTTTTGTCATTACAGTTTTTAGCATACAAAAGTATAGATGTAGTTATATGATTATATGCGAGGAGCCTAAAGGGATAGTTCAGCTAAAGATGATTTTCTCTTCCTCCACTTGTTTCAATCCTGTTTGAGTTTCGTTCTTCTGTTAAACACAAAGGAAGATCAAATGAAGAATGCTGGGAAAAAATAGTCATTGACTGTCATAGTAGTTTGTGTTCCTATGGATGCCAATGATTGGTTTTTCCCAGCATTCTGTAGTGTTTTGTTTTGTGTTTATCAGAAGAGAGAATTAAACCACTTAAGTTAAATTTTTGGGCGAACCAACCTTCAAAATCAGGCTTTGCTTTTGTCATTACAGTTTTAAGCATACAAAAGCATAGATGCAGTTATATGACTATATCAACCCGGGCTCATTGTGGAAACGTAGCCCTGCGGACCTCGAGATACGTCCTGGGAGGTTTGTATTCGAGCGGTTTTTGTTTTCGCGGATCCACGAGAGACCGCTGTGCGCGCTTTTTCGCCGACCCGGCCGCCCTCCTCTTCCTCCTTCTCCTCCTCCTTCCTTAAACCCAAGCGACAGTTTGCAAAAGCCGTCCAGAAAAAAAGCCCTCGTCTTCGATTTTGACCGCATTTTTGGATCCTGCCGCGTTCTCGCCCTTATTTTTCGGATTCTGTTTTTCATCTTACCTGGTTTCTGGAACCGCTGTTCCCTGGACTCGATCCCGGTCGTCGTCCCCCCTCCTGCTCCGGGGCCTCCGCTCTGCGGACGCAACGATGTGAGCTAAGCGGACAAACTGGTTGCATCGGGAAAGCCCTCCACTCGGAGGCGAGCCGTCGGCCGACGAGCGCAAAGAGAAGGAGCAGAGCGGCGCTACACCGCCCTGCAGCGTTCGCTCGAAAAAACTAAACGCGTCCGTATGTACCTCCGGCCACGTAAATCGCGGTCTCCAGAAATGTCCGCGGGGCTACGTTTCCAGAATGAGCTTGGGTTGGATTATGTCCGTGGAGCCTAAAGGGATAGTTCAGCTAAAGATGATTTTCTCTTCCTCCACTTGTTTCAATCCTGTTTGAGTTTCGTTCTTCTGTTAAACACAAAGGAAGATCAACTGAAGAATGCTGGGAAAAAACAGCCATTGACTGTCATAGTAATTTGTGTTTTTACTATGGAGGCCAATGGTTGGTTTTTCCCAACATTCTGAAGTGTCTTGTTTTGTGTTTATCAGAGGAGAGAATTAAACCACTTGAGTTTATTTTTGGGCGAACCAACCTTCAAAATCAGGCTTTGCTTTTGTCATTACCGTTTTTAGCATACAAAAGCATAGATGTAGTTACAGTTGAAACCAGAAGTTTACATACACACACAAAAAAGGAAAAAAAGGAACATAACCATTTTATTTTAAATGTCTGATGGTAAATCATACTAAACATTTACTATTTTAGGTCCGTTAGGATTTGCATAATCTAGATTTGCTAAATGCCAGAATAATGAGAAATTTTTTTTTTGAAGAAGAATTTTTTAATTATTTTCTAGACAGTAAAAAGTTTACAAACATTTCCTTGGTATTTTCTTAGCTTTGCTTTTGAACCCTATAACTTTGGTCAAATGTTTTGGGTATCCTTCCACAAGCTTCTCACAATAGTTTGAAGTAATTCTGGCCTATTCCTCCTGACAGAATTGGTGTAACTGAGTCAAAGTTGTCTTGCTCGCACAAGCTTTTTTAACTCTGGCCATCACAAAGTCCTAAACTCAATCCTATAGAAAATTTGTGGCCAAAACATTCACTCTGTTGTCCTCAAAGCACATTTGAACTAATTTGGCAGTATGCTAAGGGTCATGGTCTGTTTGGAAGACCCATTTGTGGCCAAGTTTAAATTTCCTGGCTGATGTCTTGAGATGTTGCTTCAGTATTTCTACATAATGTTCTTTCCTCATGATGCCATCTATGCTGTGAAGTGGACCAGTCCCTCCTGCAGCAAAACAGCCCCACAACATGATGCTGCCGCCCCCATACTTCACAGTTGGGATGGTGTTCCTAGGCTTGTAACCTTTCCCCTTTGCCCTCCAAATGAAACACATTTAGCAAATTGTAATCTGGCTTTTTTGTTGATTCTGGCTTGTTGATTTTCCCATGTTGTCACACAAGGAAGCAGTGTGTTTGAGGTTTTCCTTCAGCACTATTCTACAGTTGTGCCTCCAATTAACTCAGAGGTTGTCAATTAGCCAATCAGAAACTTCCAAAACCTTGACTCCATCATCTGAGCTTTTTTAGAGGCACAATAATCTTATTGAATGTAAACTTGACTTTCAAGAAAAGTTATAACAATTTCTCAAAAATATCTCTCTCATTATTCTGCTATTAAGCAGAAACATAGTTGATAATCCTAACTTACCTAAAAGAGAAAAAGCTTAGTCACATTAACATCTGACTTTTTTTTAAATGGTTATGTGCTTTTTACAGTGTATGTAAACTTCTAGCTTCAACTGTATAACGTTATATCTGAGGAGTTTAAAGGGATAGTTCAGCCAAACATGATTTACTCCTCCTCCATTTGTTTCAATCCTGTTTGAGTTTCTTTCTTCTGTTAAACACAAAGGAAGATCAACTGTAGAATGCTGGGAAAAACAACCATTGACTTTCATAGTAATTTGTGTTTCTGCAATGAATGCCAATGGTTGGTTTTTCCCAACATTCTGAAGAAGGTCTTGTTTTGTGTTCAACAGAGGAGAGAATTACAACACTTGTTTTTCGTTTTTGGGCGAACTAACCTTCAAAATCAGGCTTTGCTTTTGTCTTTACAATTGTTAGCATACAAAAGCATAGTTATATGGTTATATCTAGGAGTGTTCAAATTAATTGTTACTTCAGTGCACTGCGATGCATGTAGGGACAATTCGATATCTGTTCAGTAAAAGATTATAACCAGTTATTACATACTGATGTCATTTATCTCCTATGCGTGTAGTACACTCGTAGTAAAAAAAATGGTACAATGTTGTACCAAAGACGGTGCAAACCCTTGTCAGTACCTTTTCATGGAACAGAATTATACCTTAAGACAAAGAGACACAATTGACCATTGCAGTTTAAATCTTTAAGGACATTATTTGTACCATGGTAAACCTAAATGTACCTTTGGTTTTTCAAACCTGCAGATACAATATTGTGCCTTCATCAAAGGTATAAATGTGATACTTAAAGGCACCACCAGTAGCTATGTTTCCATCCACCTATTTTTATGTGCATTTTGGATGTGCTCATTAAAAAAAGGTTGATGGAAACAACAAGATGCGCATAAATTTTGAAAATTAGTAACTGAGTAGGTTAAAATTTTTTATTCGATAAGAAAAGATGGAAACACTTTTACCAAACAAATTCCAGTATGCCGTTAAAAAAGGTCATGTGATTTTGTAATAAGAGATCATGTGATGATATGATGTGTGTAAATGGACAAATCAGCAGGCTGAGCACATTGTAGAACATCTGAAATGTAGAACATCTGAAATATTAATAATGACCTCCAGAATCAAGAGTGTCTTAAAGTAACAGTTTAGGCAAATTATTGTTAAGCCAAGCATTTTCTAAGTTTATTAATAAAGCATTATTTTTCTTACCGCAGTTTGTCTGTTCCAGATGTACTTATGTAGAGAGATGTTATGTTAAAAAGATGTAGTTTCCTAAATCTTTTTAATAGAATAATAAACTGCATTATTGGAGACCAGCAGTTTGTATTAAAAAACACTGATATAATGAACGATTACTGTGATATTGATAATGATCGAATGGCCATTGTTGTGTTTCAGTACATCTGTGTGTGTGTGTTTTTTTTCTTGAAGATCGACATTCGGGATTATGATACTCTGTATAAGATCAGTGCAGGAGTGGACGTCATATTTCACACTGCGTCCTATGGGATGTCAGGACCTGAACAGGTCAGTCTGTAAAAACATTAATCTACTGAGAGAACCCTAGGTAACACTTTATAATAACTACACACTATGGGCTCTATTTTGATGGTCCATGCGCAGAGCGCAAAACGCAGGGCGCAAACGCTTTCAGGGCGCGTCAGAACGCATTTTTGCTAATTTAAGAACGGGAAAATCCGCTTTGCGCCATGGCGCATGGTCTAAAAGGGTTGAGTTTATTTTTTTAATGAGTTATAGGTGTGTTTTGAGAATAAACCAATCTGAGTCTCATCTCCTATTCTCTTTAAGAGCCAGCTGCGTCGCGCCATAAGCGCATTTGCTATTTACATGACGTAAAGTAAGTTCACTTACACTTTTGCTCTTGTGAATAGGGAAACCTTTATGCACAGACATCAATTAGCTTATAAATAATTAATTTTGATTGTTAAGCGCAAAGATTTGTTTCAAAACTATTTCTAAATTCAGTAAACTAATAAATGAACAATAATAACGAAGTGTGGTGAAAATACTGAGTTATATCCAAATACAACTGCCATACCCCATATGGTCTAAAACCTGACAGGTGGACAAACCTAAGCTTGTTTTTAATAAAACAAATATAAATATGGATATAATAAATAATACTGCTAATAATAATAACATTATACAAAAGCAAATTGAATTAACTGGAAAAGCCTCCCGAGATGAAGAAAGTAAAGACAGTGGTTTTTAAATTCATGTAGGCTAGAAATTAATGTTTTGTAATATTTTAATCATTTATATTTATATCCTATATATATCCTTATTATATATATAACCTTAATATATGATATCTTTTTCAAATGTAAAGATATTTGCGTATTGCTCTGCATATTGTTTGTAGTGTGTAAGACAGGCGCACTCTGCGCTGGACAATAGACCGACTTTGTTCTGGACTAAAGAACAGACTATTTACAGTTTCTCAAAATAGCAACGCGCCAAAACACGCCTGCTTTTTTAGACCAGAACGCCTATGGGCGCACATTTTAGCGCAAATGCATTTGCTATTTAAACTGTGTGGCGCAACACCTCAAAATTACCCTTGCGCCGAGCTGAAAGTAGCCACATTGCGCCGGGTGTATGATAGGGCCCCATGAATCATCAATTAAGCATTAGCAAATAGTTAATTTATTATTGTCAAGTATTAACTCTACATTAACAGAGGTTAGTAAGCAGTTTATAACTGCAGATACAAATGCTGTATTCTTGACTAATAAGCACATTTATAATGTTCTTAATAATTGTATTTCATAATTTATTACTGATTAATTGCTCATTAAATTCAGTATTGCATTATTTACAAACCATTTGCATTCATGAGTAGTTGGTGGATTTTAGAATCATTCAGAGTGAGGTAGTAAATGGTTAATAAACTATTCAAATCAACATTTATATATCTTATTATTCAGCTAGGGCGAGGCAGTGGCGCAGTAGGTAGTGCTTAACAGAATTTCTGCTTAACAGAGAGAAGATTTCTACAACACATTTCTAAACATAATAGTTATAATAACCCATTTCTTATAAGTGATTTATTTTATCTTTGCCATGATGACAGTAAATAATATTTGACTGGATATTTTTCAAGACACTTCTATACAGCTTAAAGTGACATTTAAAGGCTTAACTAGGTTAATTAGGTTAACTAGGCAGGTTAGGGTAATTAGGCAAGTTATTGTATTGTGATGGTTTGTTCTGTAGACTATTGAAAAAAATAGCTTAAAGGGGCTAATAATTTTCACCTTAAAATGGTGTTTAAAAAAATTTAACTGCTTTTATTCTAGCCGAAATAAAACAAATAAGACTTTCTTCAGAAGAAAACATATTATCAGACATACTGTGAACATTCCCTTGCTCTGTTAAACATCATTTGGGAAATATTTAAAAAAGAAGAAAGAAATTCAAAGGGGGCTAATAATTCTGACTTCAACTGTTTATACCAGTATGAAGTCAGAATATTAGCCACCCTGACCTATTAGGACCCCTGTTTATTTTTTTCCCCAATTTCTGTTTAATGGAGGGAAGATTGTTTCAGCACATTTCTAAGCATAATAGTTTTAGAAACCTATTTCTAATAACTGATTTATTTTATCTTTGACATGATGACAGTAAATAATATTTTACTAGATAATATTCAAGACACTTCTATACAGTTTAAAGTGACATTTAAAGGCTTATCTGGGTTAATAAGGTGAACTACACAGGTTAAGGTAATTAGGCAAGTTATTGTATAATGATGGTTTGTTCTGTAGACTATCGAAAAAGAAAATTCTTAAAGGGGATAATAATTTTGTCCCAAAATTGGTTTTTAAAAAATTAAAAACTGCTTTTATTCTAGCTGAAATAAAACAAATAAGACTTTCTCCGGAAGAAAAAATATTATCAGACATACTGTGACAATTTCCTTGCTCTGTTAAACATCATTTGGGAAATATCTAAGAAAGAAGAAAAAAATCAAAGGGGGCTAATAATTCTGACTTTAACTGTATATAGCATATGATTTTACACATGTAGCATTATTGCAGTGCTCATTTTGCTTTTAGTGACTGGAAATTACCAGAGACATATTTTATATGAATATTTTGAATGACTAAAGTGCTGGCATCAACTGCATACCATAGTAGATATATTCACAGTAGCTCATATGGAAGATCTGGGTAATGATTAATAAACAAAAAACACTGAATATTGAATTTAATTATATTATTTTGTGCCTCATTTTGCAAAGAACCATAAATGATAACTTATGACCAAACATACAGTCATAAAAGTTGTAATAACCCCGAGTAACATTGTAGTATTTAAACGAATGCCTTATATATTTCATTTCACTTGTTGACTTAGTCCCTTTATTAATCTGGGGTTGCCACAGCAAAACTTATCCAGCACATGTTTTACACAGTGGATGCCCTTCCAGCTGCAACTCAGTGCTGGGAAACACCCATACACACTCATTCACACTCATACACTATGGCCGATTTAGCTTATTCAATTCACCTATAGTGCATGATTTTGGACTGTGGGGGAAACCGAAGCACCTGGAGGAAACCCACGCCAACACGGGTAAAACATGCAAACTCCACACAGAAATGCCAACTGGCTCAGTTGGGACATAAACCAGTGACCTTTTTGCAGTGAGGCAACAGTGTTAACCACTGAGCCACCGTGTTGCCCCCAACATACAACCAGTGTTCTGTAATTCATCAAACTGTGAATCGTAAACACTTCTTCCAATATTTCTTAAAACACAAATGCTTGCGATTGTTTGTTGAGTTAACCAGTTTTATAATGAAGTAAAGCAAGAGGTTGATTGTGTGTTGTTTTTCTTCTTGTTTGGCAGCTGAGGAAAAAGCAGATCGAGTCAGTTAACGTTGGCGGCACAAACAATGTCATAAATGGTGAGCAGACCCCATTCCTGTCATCCATGCTGTGATTATTACACCTGATATTTAAATAATGAGTGAAGTGTCTCACACTTAATCAAGCTTTTATTCTAATAATGTTTTTAGTAGTACACATTCAGTATTTCTAAAGCCCCCTTTCCACTGCACACGACATTTGAACACGACTGTCGGAATACGCCCCCTTGTGGCAGCCTCAAAGTATTTAGTGTTGCCGTGCACCATGGAGGAGAAGCTGATTCTCACGGTGTCCAAAATAGAGGAGTGCAAAAGCAAGAGCCTTTATTCTCTGTGCGTTTACATGGTTTAATAACGGAATGAATACTAGAAACTCATAGACCGCTAAAATATTGGAGGGAATGTGGAGATAACATAAAAAATATATATTTTTATTACTTTCTTACTTACATTTATGAACAGAAAAGTTTTTTTCTTTAATATAGACTTTTTATAATTAAAAAAAATAACCAAATAAACTCCTATTTCCCATCTCGTGTGCACAGACCTGCTTGTACAACACTAGAATAAATCACATCCGGTCAGCCAGTCGTATACGGTCTAGTCGAGTTCAAATATTTTAACGGATCCGCAGCTCAATTCGGATCCGAATTTTCCGCATACGGAAATGATCGGAACTCAACGCAGCTCCCGGACTGCTCTCCATTGGAAATGATCGACTTCCGGTCTGTCGTTTGTCGTGTGCAGTGGAAAGGAGGCTTAAGACCCTGGACCACAAAAGCAGTCATAAAAGTAAAATTTTTTCCATTGATAATGTTGTTTAGAATAGAAAAAATTAGTTGAGATACAGAATATCAGGAATCTGACGTTTAAAAAAAAATTCTAAATACCTATGTTAGCCCGATTCCACTGACTGGTACAGTACTATACGGGTCACCTTTAACAAGCTTACAATTGCCCTGCCTAAAGGGTACCAAGGGTACTCTTTTGGTGGTTGTGATGTACGACAGGAAGTTTTAAACGACATAATTTTTACTCAAGGGTTGTTTATATATCATATGAGAAGCACTTCTCACAAAACAGAGGCTTTATGCTGTGTTCACACCAGACGCGGTACGCGCACATAAATTGCGCTATTCGTGCACATTTGAGATTACTCGCTTCATTCGCGCGTCAACCCCCGCTTCATTCGCACATCAAATTCGCTTCAATCGCGTGTTAAATTCACTTCAAAACAGACGCGGATTCGCATGATGGGCAGGGCTTCTGTCTGCCCGGTGACTCTAGCTTCATAGCTAAATGGCTAACATGGATTTTATTAAGAAAATAACAGTGTTAATGTGCTTTATGGAGACTGAAAAACAGCGTCAATACGTTTAGGGTCTGTGAGCTCATAAACTCCTCCAGAAACTGAACCTGGATGACGGAGACTTTCAGCGGTGCCTCTGACTGAGCCAAGCCCAGTTTGATGACTTGTTGTCGGTGTCGCCTGCAGGATTTGCCCCGGGACACCATTAACAGGTTCTATGTCACAATCACGCCCCCACAAGAGCAAGCTTCTGATTGGTTAATGTGGCGTGAATGTCCACTGAAGTTCAGATTTTCGAACTCAGGAGATTCGCGCGAAACGCTCGTTAAGCGAGCGTCAAACGCGCAAACGATCAATTCGCCTCGCGCGAATCTCGCTATTCACACCGCGCAATTAGCCTCATTCGCTCCGCGCCATTCGCGCGTATCGAGCTGCAGGATGTCTATTCGCACGTTTACATTGACTTAACATGTAAATCACTTGCGCTTGACGCGCGTTCCGCGTCTGGTGTGAACGCAGCATCATACACATAAATACATCAGTATAAATGTTCATTACTGATCTTACTATGAACAGGATTTAATTATAACTGCAGATCAATGACAGTTTGAAATAGCCTACTGTAACGTCTGCAGTTTTATGAAATAAATCAATAAATGCAGCAAATATGAGCACATACAGACCCTTACAGTTTCCGATATGTTACCAATTACAGAAGAACTACACACAGCAGACATTTAGCACTTATTTGGGTTAAAAAATAACATGAAATATAGCCCACAGTCAGAGCAAACCTCTCATCTGTGTCTGTAATCTTCTCTAGCACATGTAACCTCTGCTAGAAAGTAATTCCCTCATTCCAAGTTCTTAATAGTCCAAAAGGCGATGGTAATAATTAAACATGTCATAGTTCATGGTTAGGTTCGCGTTTGTCTGTTTCTGAAAGGATTGGATGTCAGAAGCACTTCAATAATCACATGCACATTGTTATTATCAGCTCAAGAAGTTTGTTGTATCAAATATAGACGCTCGCTGAGCTCTCTGGAGAAAGTGAAACCGCTCGCAATTTTAGACGGACTCGTAAAACAACAATATGACATGGCAGATTTTGTTCTTCTTGTCTTTGTGGCTGTTCATCAAGACGACGACTAGGTTTGTTTGAGCTCATTTCGACCATAGCTCATTATTATATGCATATATTATTACGGTGTAATGTCTCGGCTGTGTATTTAAAAATGGCAGTTCCTTTGTTTTCACTCTCCTGCTTGTCCACAAGCAAGTGACGTATTTCTGGAAACCAATAGCGCTCAACTGCACGTCTAGTTCCGCCTTTTGTTACCCTTTTGTCATGCTAGGTATTCTTTGCAAAGGGTACCCAAGAAGGGGTACGGTACAGTTTGCTTTTTGGTACCCTTTGACAGTGGAAACAGCCATAAAAGTGTACCAAACCATCGATTCAAAGCATTATAAAACATTATTTTCTGGACATTTTGAGCTAAAACTTCCCATACACACTCTAGGGTCGTCAGATATTTATTTAACATCTTGTAAAAAAATTATACAATTGGTTCCCTTTAATATTATAATGATTTTTGGTCTAAAAGAAAAATCAATAGTTTGACCCTTACAATGTGTTGTAGCAATTTGATTGGAAATATTTACAGCAATAATGAATGCACTTTAATAGTTGTAATTGTATGTTGTGTTTAATAGTTAATAGTCACAATTGACTAATACGTTATGAGAACTTCATTGATATTTGCTTTTGAGCCGATTTGTAAAGCAACATTAGTAGAAAATGCACTGTGACAAACTGAAGAAATAGGAAGCTTAATGTAAAATGGGGTTATTTTTCTCAGTGTCAGCATGTGTTGTGTTGTGTTGTGTTGTGCGTAGTGTGTGCGGAGCGGGGCATCTCCAGACTCATCTACACCAGCACAGTGAATGTGGCGTTTGCCGGACGGCCCATTGAGGATGGAGATGAAGACTCAGTACCCTGTGTGCCGCTAGACATGGTGAGTGAAGAGCTCTTGTATTTGGGTTACACTACTTGAAGGGGATGGCTGAAAGACTGTCATGACACCTTTATAACCATGATATGACATGTCATAAATATAATTCAGATTTTATTCATACTTATAACAGTGTTAAGTGTCATTCAATCGGTTATGTCAATCTGTTTTTATCATGATAACTTTACAGAAGCAACAAAGCTAAAAATGACTACCATGAGGCCTTTATAATTGTGTCATGATTTTTATAACGTCTTTTTTAATTTAATGACATTGAATTTGTTTTAATTAAAATTATATTCTAACCTTATTTGACATAGAACTGACAATTTGGTCCCACTTTATATTAAGTGGCCTTAACTAATATGTACTTACACAGGAATTAATAGTTTGTTACAATGTACTTATTGTGTAAATACATGTATTTACTGTGTACTTAAGCTTGATTAAATACATGTATGTAATTACAGCTGTAATTAACTTTTGTAATTACATTTGTAAATACACTGTTGACCATCCCTTACACCTTAACCCACCCTTAAACCTACCCATACCACCAAACCTGTCCATAACCCAACCCCTATCCCAACTCAAAAGCACCACAAGTGTTCTCAAATACATTTTAAACACAGTAAGTACATTGTATTTATTTTTTGATGTAAGTACATAGTAGTTAAGGACACTTAATATAAAGTGGGACCGACAATTTTATTAAAACATTTTAATGACAAATAAAAAACATATATTCATGACACAATTATAATGGCCTCATGACAATCATGTTTATGACGGATTTATGACAAGCTGTCTTGGTAATGTCAAGTTGTCATAAAATAAATAAATCTTTGCATTTTTTGCAAATAATATAACTGGGTGAATGCCACCTAATGACAGTTGTCATAAGCATACATACAATCTCCTTTATATACATGACATATGCCATGTGGAGTTTGCATAATCTCCCCATGTTAACGTGGGTTTCCTTAAGGTGCTCTGGTTTCCCCCATAGTCCAAAGACATGCGATATAGGTGAATTGAATAATGGTTGTCAAACTGTAGTACGCGGACCTCTGTCTAGTACAGGGATGTCCAAGCTCGCTCCTGGAGGGCTGGTGTTCTAGAGAGTTTAGCTCCAACCCTAATCAAACACACCTGAAGCAGCTAATCAAGCTCTTACTAGATATACTAGAAACTACTTGGCAGATAAACTCTCCAGGACACCGGCCCTCCAGGACTGAGTTTGGATACCCCTGGTCTAATGGTATGCGGAGAATCGTTAAATAATAAAATAAATAAATAAAGGAGCACACTTTTAACCCTTTGATATGTACAATAACACAGATGTGATCAGCACCGACTGTTCACTGAAGCGTACGATCACTGGTGTGTTTAGAATGTCTAATCATAATTGTAATATTTAATAATATCGTGGCGCAGTGGGTAGCACGTTCACCTCACAGCAAGAAGGTTGCTGGTTCGAGCCTTGGCTGGGTCAGTTGGCATTTCTGTGTGAAGTTTGCATGTTCTCCCTGTGTTTGAGTGGCTTTCCTCCGTGTGCTCCAGTTTCCCCTACAAGTCCAAAGACATATGGTTCAGGTGAATTGGGTATGCTAAAATTGACCGTAGTGTATGAGTGTGTGTGTGTGTGTGTGAATGAGTGTGTATGTATGGCTGGAAGGGCATCTGTTGCGTAAAACATATGCTGGATAAGTTGATGGTTCATTCCACTGTGGCGACCCCAGATTAATCAAGGGACAAAGCCGAAAAGAAAATGAATGAATGAATGAATGAAGTCATGCAGCTCTGGATAACTTGAAACTGTGAGCACAAGTAAAAAGTTCTCTGTAGTCACCTCAGTGATAGTCCTGCCTTTGCTTTCATTTGATTGATGAATGAAAAAGACGCGACTGACGTAACTCGCTTTTTTCACTCAGAGTTGACTTTTTTCTATTGTGAGCACACAGCCACAACAGCAAAAACGCGAGGCGCATAAGCAGCGTGCAAAACACTTGCAAACGTTAGCAAACCATTCAAAAGATGCACGTTCGCTGTGATCGGCCCCTTGTTACCATTAATTGGTTAACAACGCACACTCTCAGTTAATGGTTGATCGATTATTTTGAGCATCCTTACACCAAACCATCAGTCAGCATTGTTGGTGGGCAACCATAGTTGGTTTAGTGTGTTCCACACATCCCCTCTCTTTGAGTTAACGTCAGAGCTCATCGGTCAATTCAACGTATAGAATCAGTTTCGGGTGTCGGATGTAGAGAGCCCTCTGATCAGTTCTTCAGAAATAAATCAGAATGTGATAACAAAAACAGAAGTGATGTAGCATGTAAACAATTCAAGTCAAGAAGAAACACAACGAGGAAGGCTGAAATATTGCTACATTTTTCAAATATTTACAAACAGTATGGATTATTAGATTATCAGACATATTAACATGAGTCAATCTCTCTGTGGTGAGTGACTGATAATGCCGCTGATTGCTGCTTTGTTTACTCTCTTTACGTGCTCTTCGGAAGTTCGGCTTATTCTTGTTGAATAAGCAAACAGATTACTTTCATTATCACTAGCTGTTTGGTGTCGACATTTGTTGTGTCCCGTAAATGACCTGTAGTAACCTATAAATAGTAAACAGTAACTTTAATACTATTTTAGCATTTTAAAATACTACAGGATTGTCTATGTCAGTGGTCTCAAACCCAATTCCTGGAGGGCCGCAGCTGTGCATAGTTTATCTACAACCACCTTCAACTCACATGTGCTTAATAGTCACAGAAGTTTACTGTTGTTAAATAATTGCACAAAGACTTGGGTTTTATGTATTACACTGTAATTTGTGACCATTTTACACTTTATATTGAGTGGATATATAAGTAAATACTATGGTACAGTGTGTACATACACTGTAGTTACATACAACATACACATCTACTTACCATGTAAATTCACAGGTATAAGCGACACTTAATGTAAAGTGGGACTGTTTGAATGAAATTTTGCATTGGCTCCACAGACCACATGCTCTGAACTGTGCTGGCTTATTGATATGGATATCGATTCTGAAGCAATATATTGTGCAGCCCTAGACTTAACCTTTGCTTCATTTGTTTATGTTGAAAAAAAAAAGCTGTAAAAATGCAATTATATTGAAGGACCAAAGTCAAATGTTGATAATTCAGGATGGAGAAGCGCGTTCAGACAATCTCCAGATCCAATATCTGACCTTCTTTCTTAATCTGCATGTAGTTTTAAATCATCCAGCAATGACGTCAAATGATGTTGATATTTGGTTGTTTTAAAGTTGTGTTGCAAACCAAAATCTAACGTCAAGCCAACATATTAAACCAACATCATATTGACGTCAAATACTAACATTTATACAACCAAAATCCGATAGACGTCATAGTGCTAACATACACAAATCAAGCTGTTAGACATTGATATTTGGTTGTTTTTAGGTTGTTTTGGACCAAAATTCAACGTCTGTCCAACATTGGACCTTGACATTGGCCTGATGATGGGTTCTGATGTTAACCCGATTTTCATTTCCACCCAAAATGCAATGTCCCATGACTTTGAGGTACATAGTCAATCTGTTGTCATCTTGTGCCTGCTGGTAATATTTGTCGTGTTGGCGTGGGTTGTCCTCAGGGTGCTCCGGTTTCCCCCACCGTCCAAAGACATGTGAATTGGGTTAACTAAATTGACCGTAGTGTACTGAATGAGTGGAAGGACATCCACTGCGTAAACATATGCTGGAATAGTTGGCGGTTCATTCCACTGTGGGGACCCCTGATAAATAAGTTATAATTAATTAATGAATATACAATACTATAAATACATAAGAAGCAAGATAAATGGTGCTGTTAATGTAAGTACAGTATTTTTGCAGGGATTGGTTTACAGTGAATTACTGTACTGAATTGCTGCCCAGTAAGGCAGATAGCATTATTACTTTTTCTCTTGAGGTCATGGACTCTTTTACAGTCCGAGCACTTTCACTAGGCATTAGCATGTCGTGTTGGACTGAACTCTTGCTTTCGCTGTGCTGGAAAACAGTAGACTGAAGCTGAGGAAGGTTAATGGAATCAAATGAGTCCATCCGACACCTCGCTCGCCTGATGGAGCTCCAAGTGTTACACAAGTCATGTGCTTTTGTCTGGCCAAACATCATACATGAATACATAACATCTGATGAATCATATAACGGTACCGCTTACACACTCAGATTTCACTCAGAGCTCGCTTTTGGCCAAGGTTGACTGATGTGTGAAGACTTTCACTAAGCGCTGGGAAAAAAATAAAAAAGGTAGCACTTTACTTGAAGGAGGTGTTCGTAAGACTGTCATTAAACCTTTTTAATCATGACATGATCATGAATGTGAATGAGATTGTATCTGTGCTTATAACAATCGTTATTAAGTGTTGTTGATGCAGTTTTGACATTTAAAAAGCAACAATGACATTGTTCGTTATGACAACTTGACATGAACAAATACATCGCAACCTGTTTTGGTCTTTGTCATGACAACTTGACATATCAAGACAACTTGTCATAAATCTGTCATAAACATGATTGTCATGAAGGCATTATAAATATTTCAGGAATTATCAGACTTTCACTAAGCGGTGGAACACTTTACTTGAAGGAGATGTTCATAAGACCATTATGAAACCTTTATAATCATGATATGACAATTTGTGAATGTGAATGATATTTTATGCATGCTTATAACAACTGTTATTAAGTGTCAGTCGCTCAGTTATAACATTTTAAATGGACAGATGACATTGTTTGTTATGACAACTTGACATAAACAAATACATCACAACCCGTTTTTTGTCTTTGTCATGACAACTTAACATTACCAAGACATTACAACTTGTCATAAATCTGTCATAAACATGAATGTAATGAAGCCCTTATAATGTGTAGTAGATTTTAAAACAGACTTTCACTAAGTGCTGGAACAGTTTACTTGAAGGAGGTGTTCATAAGACCATTATGAAAACTTTATAATCATGACATGACTCATGTCATGAATGTCAATGATATTTAATGTATGCTTATAACAACTGTTATTAAGTGTCATTGGCTCTGTTATGACATTTTAAATACAAAGATGACATTGTTTGTTATGCCGACTTGACATAAACAAATACATCACAACTTGAAATGTCTTTGTCATGACAACTTGACATTACAGAAACAATGAAACTTGTCATAAACCTGTCATAAACATGATTTGTCATGAGCCATTATAAGTATGTCATGAATTTATAACAGCCTTTCAGTAAGCGCAGGGGAAAATAAAGTAACACTTTACTTGGGGGAGGTGTTCATAAGAGTTCATGAAACTTTTAAAATTATGACATGACTTGATGTGAATTACTTTTTATGCTTGCTTTTAACAACTGTCATTAAGTGTCATATGCTCAGTTATGACATGATGACATTTTTTGTTATGACGACTTGACATAAACAAATACATCACAACTAGCTTTCATCTTTGTCATGACAACTTGACATACCAAGACAATAAAACTAATCATAAATGTGTCATAAACATGATTTTTATGAAGCCATTATAAGTATGTCATGAATTTATAACAGACTTTCACTAAGCGCTGGAACAGTTTACTTGAAGGAGGTGTTCATAAGACCACTATGAAACCTTTATAATCATGACATGACTCATGTCATGAATGTGAATAATATTTATTGTATGCTTATAACAACTGTTATTAAGTGGCATTGGCTCAGTTATGTCATTTTAAATACAAAGATGACATTGTTTATGACGACTTGACAAACAAATATATCACAACCTGTTTTTGTTTTTGTCATGACAACTTGACATACCAAGACAATAAAACTTGTCATAAACCTGTCATAAACATGATTTGTCATGAGCCATTATAAGTATGTCATAAAGTTATAACAGCCTTTAACTAAGCATTGGGCAAAATAAAGTAACACTTTACTTGAAGGAGGTGTTCATAAGACCTTTACAAAACTTTTAAAGTAATGACATGACTCGATGTGAATTATATTTTATGCTTGCCTAAAAAAACTGTCATTAAGTGTCATTCGCTCAGTTATGACATTTTGGAGATGACAATGTTTGTTATGACTTGACATGAACAAATACACCACAACCTATTTTTGTCTTTGTCATGACAACTTGACATACCAAGACAACACAACTTGTCATAAATCTGTCATAAACATGATTGTCATGAAGCCATTATAAATATTTGAGGAATTTTTATAACAGATTTGACTAAGCGCTGGAACACTTTACTTGAAGGAGGTGTTCATAAGACCATTATGAAACCTTTATAATCATGACATGACACATCGTGAATGTGTATGATATATTAAATGTATGCTTATAACAACTGTTATTAAGTGTCAGTCACTCAGTTATACATTTTAAATACAAATAGGACATTGTTATGACGACTTGACATAAACAAATACATCACAACCTGTTTTTTGTCTGTCATGACAACTTGACATTACCAAGACAATAAAACTTGTCATAAATCTGTCATAAACATGATTGTCATGAAGCCATTATAAATATGTCATGAATTGTATTACACAATTTATATTTTATATACAATAAACATACATAACATATGCTAAAAAAGTTAGCGGTTCATTCTGCTGTGGCAATCCCTGATAAATAAGTGTATGTGGGTGTATTTTCTTTTATCATTTTGTTCTTACTGGTTATAGTTCCTACAAAAATCTCCAAATCTCCTTCAATTTAATAGTCTCTTTGTATGAAAGTGTCTGCTAATGTTATATGTATGAATATAAAACTGCATCTATAATTTGAGATCTGACTCTGAATGATCTTTTATTGTCTCTCTTCAAGCACATCGACCATTACTCCAGGACTAAAGCTATCGCTGAGCGCATGGTGCTCGCTGCCAATAGGAGATCAACAAAAGGTACGGAAATGAAAACTTGTTCGTCTCTGAAGTCGATTGCGCGCAATAGCAATAAGCGCAAGTGGTGTCATGTACCCTGCTCATATTGTGTGTGTGTGTGTGTGTGTCGGTGTGTGTGTGTGCTGATGAAGTACTGAGGTAACGGCTGCTATGGTAACGGCCACAGTGTGCAACCCTAGCCAAGCAGACCCGCTGACACTGTTTTAAATTTAGACCTAGACTTAATCATTAGGTCGGCTTAACCTCGAGGAGCAAATAGTTCAGTTGATTTAATTTTAATTTAATATTTTTGGTAGCACTTTATAATAACTACACACTATGAATCATTTATTAAGCATTAGCAGGTAGTTAATTCATCATTTGTTAAGCATTAACCCTACATTAATAGACGTTAGTAAGCAGTTTATAAATACAGCCACAGATGCTGTATTGTTGTAATGTACAACGTGTTTAAAAATTGTGTTTTTATACTTTGTTGATTCATTTTTCAGTACTAAATTAAGTTTTGCATTATTTACAAACCAGTTATTAAAGAATAGTTGGTGGGTTTTTAAGATCTTAATTTTTTTTTTTAAGAATTTGAGGAGATATACTTTGGTATTTTGATTGGTCTGAGACTTTATTATAAAGCGTTTCACTTTCATCTCAGTGTTGTCTACTAAAAATAACTGAGATGAGTTTATAATCTCACCGCCTACCGAGTGACCCGAAGGTCCGTTCTGAATGAATGGTGAAAATTAAAAGGCATATCAGAACTCATTTTTAGCCAAGTTAAGGGAAATGGCACTAATTAGCTAACGTTTTCTTTCCCAAACACATGTTTTAGGTGCCATTTATCAAACTCGAGTTAATGAACTGATTCTTTCACTATATTAGACCCGTCACGATACTGAATTAAAAGTAAAACCGGCAATTTCCCACTCACATTTAAGGCCCTGTTGATGGCTTTCTTAAAACAGCGCTGATTTGCCATTGTGTTCATGTGCTCAACAGAAATGACTGTGATTGGTCGAGAAGGTCATCAGTTCACCCTCCGCTGTTTACCGAGCACAAACACAGACGAGCGATCTGCTTGATGACTCGACTGATCTTCACAGCTTCTTGGCGCTCCAGTCTCCGTGTATCTGTATTCGCACTGGATGAAGAGCGGAAAACTGAGTGCAAACACAGATACACGGAGACTGGAGTGCGAAGCAGCCGTGAAGATCAGTCGAGTCATCCGCACTCAGCAGCGCTTCAGTGTTAGCAGGAAAAAGATGTTTTTAAAACCTCAGTACCGGGACAACACTATTACAGACAACATGAGGATGTGCTGCAGAGGACTGTAGTGTTTTATCACTCACCAGGTTACATAGGCTGAAGCAGGATTACGTCCCCACAGTGTTTAACTGGTGCCATGAACTGAAGCCTTGAGCATATTACTCTTACAGATGTTGTTTGATGCTAAATTTCTTTTAATTGTTTAAAATAAACTTACTGAATGATATTAAAGTGATGTTTACACCATTTCTGCATTATAAAATATCGGCAACAGCTGGAGGTTTGTAGTACACATCAATGTTTACAGTAATGGTCCTAAACTTGCGGGTTTCTTCCCATCGCAGCCTCGCTTTAGTTCTTTAAAATGGCGGGCAGGTGAAATAAGCAACCCAGGCTCATTGTGGAAACGTTTCTGGAGACCGTGGAATATGTCCTGGCGGGTACGTACGGCTGCAGTTTTTGTTTTTGCGAATCCGCGAGAGGCCGCTGTTGTGTGCTTTTTCGCATCTCAGACGCCTCTTGCAAGAGCAGTTCGCGCCCGTGCTGTTCTCGTGTGAACCCACCAGAGGCCGCTGTCCCGACTGACCGGATGATTGACTGCGTGACCGGCCAATCGGCTGACCCGCCCTCCTCCTTCCCTGAACCCAACCAATTTTACAGATTGACCCGCCCGCCCGCTCGCTTCCCTAAACCCGAGCAACAGTTTACAAAAGCCGTCCAAAAAAAAAAGCAGACTCGAAACCGGTCGCCATGGTCAACTCCTCTCTGCATCTCGAGCCTGCCGACGTACACAGTGAGCTGAGTGGACAAACGGGTTGCAGCTGGGAAGCCCTCCACAAGGAGGTAAGCGGTCGGCCGGCCGGCAAGCACGAAAGGGAACAGCATCACACCGCCCCGCAGCGTTCGCTTGCAAAAAATAAATGCAGCCGTACATACCTCCCGGGACGTATTCCGCTGTCTCCAGAAACGTCCGCGGGACTACGCTTTCAAAATGAGCTTGGGTTGGAAATAAGCGTATAGAAATCGATCATTGGCTCTTGTACTAGTAGACAGGGCTTTAGGGCTTCACCAAATTGACCATTACACTTTCCCTCATTCAAAACTATATGAGTAACAGTCTTGTGTATTCTATAGTCTTTGCTATAACTAGGTCAGATATCAATTCTAAATGTGAAATCAAAAAGTGGAGTGATGCTTACGGATGTAATTCAAAGTTTTTTTTTTTTTTGTGATAGGTGGTGGTCTTCTACACACATGTGTCCTGCGCCCCTCTGGTATCTACGGTCCTGAAGAGAGAAGGCATTTACACCGAGTGATGGTGAGTTTTATTATTGTTTTGAAGAAGACCCTGAGAACGAACTTGCTGATCCACATGCAGTTTATTAAAGAACAGATCATAAAGGCAAAGGTCACAAACAGGAGAATAGGGGTAATCCAATAAATGTAGTCACAATGCAGATGAAAAGACAGGCTAGGCCCCAAATAAAGTCTAGAATCAAAAACACAGCAAAAACAAACAGGAGAAAACCCAATGCAATTCGTAACTTTTTGCTATAGTGGCTAATTCGTATGAATTCGTACGATCTAATTCGTACAATTTAGTACGATTTGCTCATCACCCAATGATGGTTGGGATTAGGTGCCACACTTCTCTTTTAAAATCGTATATTATCATACGACTGAACTTTAACGAATTCGTACGAATTAGCCCTTAAACTGACAAAACGTAAAATACTTACGTTTCTCGTGAGATCAGGCTGGAAAACCGGTGTTTTATTTGTGAGAGACACAAGACTCAGCAAAGGGAATGTGAATGTGATTAGTTCTACTAATCTGTCCATTATGAGCTACAGCTGTGTCTGTGTGAGTGTCTGGATTATTGTCAGCTGTTGCAGGGGTTGATGGGAGCAAAGAGTTCTAGGAGTTGTAGTTCGTTGAAATAGCGGAAGTTATCTCCAGTGGAGAAAACACAGCTGGCGATCACAACAGTTATTCTCTTTCTATCCATTTCCTACCATCTAAGGCTGCAGAATATATCATTTCAGCATCGCTATCGCAATGTGTGTGTCTGCAATAGTCACATCGCAGGATCTGCAATGTTAAGGGATTATAGTTGAACAGCACAGTTGAGAATACGTGAGTCATTGCAAAGTATAACCATAACAAAGTGAAACTTTATAATTAACAAGTGACTCAAGAGAGTTTATCGCGATCGAGCTTAAAAAAAAGTACTTTCACTTTTATTAACTTTATCAAAGAATAATTTTACGGAATTATTAATACACTGAAGACTATACAGTGTTATTTTACACTGCATTATTCAGTTTCTGTTCCAGAATACTGTTTGACACTCTGGCAAACCATAAAGCACTGTTTACTTTTTTTATTGCTCCACTGTAATTACTCTTGCTTGCAATTAGTTTATTATTTTTAGACATGATTCACACCCTTAAAGAATCACCTTCATCAATTTAAATGAATGATTTCTTTCCAATTAGAGCTATTCAAGCCACCTCGTGAAATCTTACTCATTTCTCAATATATACACTACCTGACAAAAGTCATGTCCTCTATACAGGATTTAGGAACAACGAATAACTTGACTGCTAGTTGTTCATTTGGTATCAGAAGCGGTTTATATGAAAGGCAAAGGCCTCTAGATTACGCTTATTTACCAAAATAAAATATGATCCCACCTTAATTTTGAATTATTTTATTAGGGCAGTAAAGTCTGACTTTGCTTAGACAAAAGACTTGTCACTGAACATAAATAATGTCCAGTTTAGAATATAAAGTCCTGCTGCAGTGGAGAAAGAATGAATGTTGTGTCTGAATCCATCATGAGCTTGGAGGACTGCATCCATACATCTGTGCAATGACTCAAATCACTTATCAATAAAGTCATCTGGAATGACAAAGAAAGCCTTCTTGCAGGACTCCCAGAGTTCATCAAGATTCTTTAGATTCATTTTCAATGCCTCCTCCATCTTACCCCAGACATGCTCAATAAAGTTCATGCCTGGTGACTGGGCTGCTCAATCCTGGAGCAGCTTGACCTTCTTTCAGGAGCTTTGATGTGGAGGCTGAAGTATGAGCAGGAGCGCTATACTGCTGGAGAATTTGCCCTCTCCTGTGGTTTGTAATGTACTGGGCAGCAAAAAAATCTTGACTCCTCAGGATGTTGATGTTGCCATCCACTCTGCAGATCTCTCAATGCCCCCATACTAAATGTAACCCCAAACCATGGTTTGTCCTTCACCAAAACGACTGATTTCTGATTGACTGGTTCCTTCTGCCACTTTTCCAAATGATCATCTAGAAGTCAAGTTATTAATTGTTGCTCTTACAACTGGGATCTATGACAATTTTTTTCTCAGGTAGGGTATATCACTGAAAAAATATTGCAATGTCAGGTTTTTCCAATATCATGCAGGTATTTCCTATCACATCATGATTTAGAGCAGGGTTGGCCAACCCTGTTCCTGGAGAGCCACCTTCCTGCAGATTTCAGTTGCTGCCCATATCAAACACACTTGGACCAATTAATTAGGACCTGAAGAACACCACGTGATAATTCAACCCAGGCTTATTGTGGAAACGTAGCCCCGCGGACGTTTCTGCAGACCGTGAAATACGTCCCGGGAGGTACGTATTTGAGCAGTTTTTGTTTTCGCGGATCCGTGAGAGACGCCTCTCGGGAGCGCGCGCCGTTCGCGCCCGCGCTGTTCTCGCATGAAAAGCCGCCGAAGGCCACTGTGGAGCAACCGTACGTCCGACTGACTGGCTGAACAATCGTCCGGGCGGCCATCAAATTGGCCGACTCTGCCACCCTCCTCCTTCTCTAAACCCAAGCGACGGTTTGCAAAAGCCGTCCAGAAAAAAAAAAAGCAAAAGCCCTCGTCTTTGATATTGACCGTGTTTTCGGATCTCGCCGCATTCTTGCCCTTTTTTTTTGGATTCTGTTTCACCTTTTTTTTACTTACCTGATTTCTGGGACCGCTCTTCCCCAGACTCGATCCCGGTCGTCCCCATGGCCGGCTCCTCCTCCTCTGGGCCTCCGCTCCGCCGACGTAACGCTGCGAGCTAAGCGGATAAACTGGTAGCAGTGGGAAAGCCCTCGGAGGTGAGCCGTCAGCCGGCGAGTGCGAAGAGGAGGAGCGGAGCGGCATCACACCGAAAACTAAACGTGGCCATACGTACCTCCGGCCACGTAAATCGCGGTCTCCAGAAACGTCTGCTGGGCTAAGTTTGCGGAATGAGCTTGGGTTGTGATAATTACAGGCAGGTGTGTTTGATATGGGTTGCAACTGAAATCTGTAGGAAGGTGGCTCTCCAGGAACAGGGTTGGCCACCCCTGATATACAGGGACACTCAATAAGCATAATGTATTTTATACTGTTAAAAACCATAGACTGTAAAATAAATGGACGTAGTATCCGTGACGTCACCCATAGGTTTCTAAAGAGCGCAAAAGTAGCCACAAGTAGGCGTGGCCAACCGTCGCCATTTTGTTCGCTCGTCATCACACCCACGGCGGGATACCAAACAAGGGCAAAGAGGCGGAGAGTGAGCGGAGCTACAGACGCCTGCTGACAGTTTGCTTGGACCTGGTTCAGACACACTTTACTTTGGGAGAAATGCTTAATACTTTATCACCTGTGACCCGTTTGTATTCTGACCACTTGTGCTTGGTTGTATACTATATCAATAAAGTGTTTAGACTTTTAAAAACACTGCTGTAATACATTGAGCCACTGAACATTGTTCTGTTATGACGTTTTTTAACAAGAGGAAAACGCGAATTACTTCCAAACACTTCAGATATAGTCTGTGTTAGTTACTGTAAGACTATTGATGAAATCCTGCATAACCCTGTATGACAACGCTTCAGATGACTGTTCTAGAGCCTACAGCTAATCAATTCATCAGATTCTGAAGTGCATTACAGCTCTAATTATAAATATAAACAATAAATGACCTTAAATAAAACAAATACATGTACAGAGATGGTATATAAGTAACTTATATAAATTTACTCACATGGGAAACGGAGGCCACGTGAATGGTTTGTGAGCACAATTAAGTGCACTCAGCATGCCATGCCATCTAATAATTGTAGGAAACAAGTCCAAAAGGCAGTTGACTGTGTAAAGCCATGTAAAACAACACAGAAATACGATAAATATGCCGAGTTCAGTGGCTAATCTGCAGGATTCAGCTGAGGTGACGTGACGGCGACCAATGAGACCAAGCTGTCACTCAAGTGGCCACGCCCTTAATTATGCAAACTTAATATAACTTAATATAAAGGAAACGGATGAGTTATAAAACAATTCACCCCCCTCACAGTTGTCATGAAGGGTAATATTAGCTGTATTAACCAAAATCTTTTTTTGTACCAGGCTGTAAACACCTTTTTTTCTGCTGTAAAGTTGGCCATTCTAACAGTGGGCTCAATTGAAATTTGCTCTGTTTTGGAGCCAGGAGCGACCAGGACTAGCGGAATTTCGGATGAATTGCAGTTTTAGTTACTTCCGTATTGGCTTCCTGAGGGAGAGCCGGAGGTTGCCGCTTGTTAAAAACAGGCTTATTATATGGCCTTACCCTAACTCTACTCCTAATCTCAACCCTCATGAACTCTTGCCAAATTTTCCATTTTAAAACCCCAGTAAGTATATTTTTAAGCCTTTTGAATTACAGTAACATGAGGCGTGTCCCTGTAAAACACCTTAATAGAGTACAATTAAGTCATTATCCAACTTCATGTCCCTGTAAACCACATAAACTTATACACACACATACAGATTGCAGACAGTTGTACTCTGCAGCTTCAGCGGTGCCAATGTGCCCAGAGCTGTACAATATTAATAGAGTCTGTGAAAGTCTCCTGTTACAACCTGAGCTCCTACTGTGCCTGACAAAATACAGACACACGACTGTCTAATATATCTCTAATATACAGACACATATTGGGCATTTCGTTCAGAAAGATGGGTAAAAGGGTTTGTGGAGAGTTATCAGAAGCTAACAGACACCTTGTATCTTGTACAAGATACAAGATGTGCAGCACCTGAAACTACGGATAATGGAAGCCTGTGCTGGCAATTGTCTTGCTGTTTTGCTATCAGTGTGTGAAGAGTGGAGGAAGGGGGTTGCATTGAATTGTAAATAACTCATGAAAGAATAAAGTTAAAACCAAGCACATCGTAATTTTTCTTGTGAAATTCCCGGTAAGTTTGATGTGTCAAATGCCCCTCTTCCTATTGAAAAAAACAGAAGTTGGATCCAAGATGGCTGACTTCAAAATGGCCACCATCCATCTTTACAAGTTTGCCCCCTCACATATACTAATGTGCCACACACAGGAAGTTAATATCACCAACCATCCCATACAAGGTGTATCCATATAAATGGCCCACCCTGTAGATTACAAGGGCAAACAGTTATTATTTTCACCACAAAGCTAGCAATATGAGCTAACAAAATCATAGTTAGTTTTGATTTCTTGTATGGCTCTAAAGGTTGTTATTAGCTCTATGAGGTGAATCTGGAGACAAATATTTTTCTTTTCTTTTCTCTTCTCAGGTAAACGTGGAAAGACGGTTCTTCAGCTTTTGTTTTGGGGACCCCAATGCCAAGATGAACTGGGTGCATGTGGATAATCTGGTGACGGCGCATGTTTTAGCAGCACAAGCACTTACTGCGGAGAAAGCCTTTGTGGCGGTATGTGTTAATTTTTTTTATATGTATTTTGATAGAAATTTGTATTTTGTTTGAATCAGCAGATTTGAAGATGTATTATTGTACAATAATAATTTTCTGAAGTCAGAATTATCAGCACCCCTGTATATATTTTTTTCACAATTTCTCTTTAAAGGAGAGATTTTTTCAACATATTTCTAAACATAATAGTTTTGAAAACTAATTTCTAATAACTGATTTTGATGATGACAGTAAATTACATTTGACTAGATATTTTTCAACATACTAGTATTTAGCTTAAAGTGACATTTAAAGGCTTAAAGGAGCTGTGTGTAAGTTTTTGACTCTTCTAAAGCATAAAAATACCCTTTCAAGAGTTCCCACTTAGATATATATGCTTGGCATTAATAGCAGGTTTGGTATAAATGGCATAAATGCTGTCCTGGGAGAGAACCCTGAGCTCGGAGATATTTGAGCCCAGGACTCCAGCCCGGTGTAGAAGCATATCAGGGGATCCAAGATCAGGTAGGTCTCGATCGCTCCCCCTTTAGAAGGGGAGAAAAAGGAGGAGATGGGGTGGAAGGGGGGATTCTTCCAAAAAGAAGATAAGGAGCAATAAGGAGAAAGTGATCCATTTATATTAAGCTAGGATCATTCTGATTGGATTATTACTGATTACGGATGAGTGGCCAGCAGTGCACAATCATATCACGTGCTCCTCTCGAAAATATTTTGTGAAACTTCACAATATGCTTGCAGATAGTTAAGAAACATGCCAAGTGAACAAACTTGTTTATCTGAAAAACGATGCTGCAGTCAAATATTCTGCTTTGAAAATGTGTGTTATGTGCCAGAATGTCTGTCTTTGTTTTGGTTTTTTTAACCAACCCATTGCCAGTGTAGCCAATTATATTTCAGCCAGTGTTTAGTTTATGAATTGCGTGGTCCTGGAACAGAATAACGGATCCGGCATGTAACCCAAGGATGTAGAGGTACCGCGCATGAAAGTGGAAGGAGGGGTTGGGGGTTTGGGGCAGACAAAAGTGAAGAGAGGAGGGGTTGGTAAGATGGCGGAGGGATGTCGCAAATGAAAGTGAAGAGGTTTGGGTAGTCGCAGAAGAAAGTGAAAGTGAACAGCAGTCGGCTGAGGAGGGCGGTTGAGGAAGGGGATCCGTAAAATGAAGTGCTGGATCAGATTTCAGAGGTGCCGGATTTGGATCTGGCGTGTTCCGGCATAAATCAAGCCCTGATTTCAGCACCCCTGGTTGCCTTGCTGGAAATCCATGTATTTAATTCACTCAGTAAGGCTCTCAAGTGTGCGTCTGTTACCGAAATGCGACCTCCAGTGGACAGTAACAGCCCCGAAATGAATGCAGATTTAATTCCACATGAGGTGGCTATTAAATAGCAAATATTATAAATATTACAATCGTAAACATTAGATGAGCAGGTTAGATTGTAACCCCATGTTCTAACAACACACTACATGACAAAATTTGCAGTGATAAGCAATTTTGCTGTTTGTATCAGACTAAGCATGACAGAAATTTAAACACAGCCATTCAGAAGCACAGAATAGTGCACTCACTGCACTCCAATGAAACGGTAAGATTTATAATCTAATTAATACATATTAAACCTCTTAAACATTATTAAATGTACATGCTGAATCACTGATATGTGTTGGTTTAAAGTTCTAAAGTTCAATTTCAAACAGTTTATGTTATTTTCCAGATCTGAGGTGAACTATCTGCTGCTTGTATTGTTAAATAGCATTCAAACTCACATTATTAGCATTTAACACTGAATAAAGCACATGGGGTGTACCTGAGGTGTTTACAGTTCATCCTGTTGGTCAGCTGCAAGAAATAGAAGCCATTTCTTAAATATGAATTTCAGGTGTTGGTTAGGACAAAAACTCATTTTAATATGGAAACTAATTCTTCTATCACATGCTACTGCTCTTATTTAGAACACAACCTAAATCAGCCTTTAGGCTCGATAGTCAGGCTCGCTCCTGTTGGTGTCTTCAATCTGGCAACCTGCACTTGCATGTGTTTTGAACCAGTTGTGCAATACCAAGTTCAACCACTGGGTGTCAGACTTACATACTGCACTTTTAACCAGATTAATTAGGTAAGTTAGGGTAAATAGGCAAATCATTGTATAACAGTGGTTTGTTCTGTAGACAATTAAAATAAATATCGCTTAAGGGGGCTAATAATTTTCACCTTAAAATGTTTTTTTTAAATAAATAAAAATTTTCTCTAGAAGAAAAATATTATAGGAAATACTGTGAGGTGTGAACAATTCCTTGCTCTCTTAAACATCATTTGGGAAATATTTGAAAAAGAAAAAAGGTCTAATAATGTTAACTTAACTGTCGTCAATTTGCTTTCAGAGTGGCCAGGCGTACTTCATCAATGATGGGGAGTCGGTTAATGTCTTTGAATGGCTAACACCACTGGTAAGTAGCACATAAACCCAAGCATGTCTATTTAACCCTTTGGAAATATTCTAACGTTTTTCCATCTCCAGTTTGAAAGACTGGGTTACGGTCGGCCACTGATTCACCTTCCTGTGTCTCTGGTCTACTCAGCAGGTGGGACTTAAGAAATGTGACATTTCAATTTATGAATTCATTTATTTATTAAAAATATAAACAATCCATCACTCCGGTCTTCTCCAGCCATTCTGATGGAGCGGCTGCATGTGGCTTTGAGACCTATAGTGGAAATCCCTTTGCTTCTGACCAGAAATGAGGTAAAGTCCAGTCTTAATTATATCATTATATCATATTCAATACCTTTTAAGACCTTTTTTAAGACTCTTTGTATACATTTTATGGGCTTATCACCACTTCAGGTTTCAACCAGTAACATTGCCGACATTTTAACTTGCAATGTATTTACTAAGAGCTGAGGCGAAAGGCAAAGCTCTCGAATTTCCGGTCAATCTACGTTCCTACTCTCACCTATGGTCGTGAGCTTTGGGTCTTGACTGAAAGGACAAGATCTCGGATACAAGCGGCCGAAATGAGTTTCCTTTGAAGGGTGGCAGGGCGCACTCTTATGGATACGATGATGAGCTCTGACACCCTGGAGGGGCTCGGAGTAGAGCCGCTGCTCCTCCACATCGAGAGAAGTCAGCTGAGGAGACTCTGGCATCTGTTTCGGATGCCTCCTGGAAGCCTACCTAGGGAGGTGTTCCAGGCATGTCTCACCGGGAGGAGGGCTTGGGGAAGACCCAGGACACGCTGGAGAGACTATGTCTCTCGGCTGGCCTAGGAACTAGTATTATTATTTATTATTATTAGTATATTAATATATACTGAATAAAAATTATTAGTCCAGCAGGTGGCGACTATTAAACAGCAGGAATAACAGTGGTTCCCTGGTTACCACAGTAAAAAAGCAGCGTGATGTCAAATCTAGTTTGAATTATTTGATTTCATAAACTTCACAACATTCCAATATTCAAAGATTAAATTCAGGCAAACTTTAGCACACTGATACAAAATTTAATACCTTGTAAAATGGCATTTAAGACTTTTTAATACCTTAAAGGGCCCTAAATTTCTTTTAATTGATTTATCCATTTTTAATACTTTTTAAGACCCCGCAGACACTGTATAGGAACACGTGTGTGTATGTGTGTGTGTGTATGTGGAGCTATAGCCAGTGTATAGCAGCTTATGTTACCATCTCCATATACTTTAGACACTTACATTAACATGTACAGTTTACATTTAGGTTTTCATCAGGTTTAATAAATCATAATATCGGGCATCTGTGGCCATGAAACACATTAGACTGCTTGCATCTCCTCCGGTTGTTTAAATATCGCAGAGAATAAGAGGTGACAAACATGTCGGCGTACGGTTTGAGCCAGAAAGGCTGGTGTCAGTAGAGCTGGGTGTGGATTGGCTGTCATGCATTACTCATGAGAAACACAAGCCACGGCCTGAAGCGGCGATTCTGGTCAGATGGCGGCAGGTTTGATGATTGCTTTCTGAATAAAACATGAATCTCCGCAGCTCCTTGCTGGAACTTTAGGCTGGAGACGGACAGGTGAGGAGCTGCCGGGGAATG